GGTTGATGGCGCCGACGGCTTGCGCGACCAAAAAGCCAACGACCCATGCGCTTCTGTCCTGCGCCCTCTATGTCCTCCTCCGCCCTTTGCCATCGCCGTCCAGTCCTTCATCCGCTCTCCTCTCCGCGTGCCCCTCCCGTTACTGGCAATGCTCAGCCTAGGTCTCGTGGGTTCTTCCTCCCTCCAGCCGCCGTCTTCGCGTGCCCGCCCCCCTGCCCCCCTCGCCCATCGAACGTGCCGCCTCCTGTGATCAGTCGCGTCGGCCTGCGGGGCCGCCGCTTGCTCGTGCTCGGCGCCTTCCCCGATCGCCGGGAAGTCAGTGCGTTCTCCTCGCCGTTGGCCCGCGCGCGCCTGGGGGTCGCGTTCGGCGCCGCAGCGCGTCTCGGTCGGCTTCCGGCCACGGCATTTCTCATCGCGGGCTCGCATGCAGAACGTTCGCACGAGGGAGTGATGGGATAAGTGGCCCACATCTGTCCGTGCTCTCTTGGCGCACGTCCAACCACGATGTGTACTTTGACGCCAGTTTTGGACTCCTTCGGCGTCTGTGCCTAAAGGTATTTGCTCGGCAGTTTAATCTTACTTGTATGTATTTCGCCATCGTTCACCACCCACCAAACCACCCCAACCCAACCCGAAGGCTCAAATTTACAGTCGATTTCCAGTGGGGGGGGGGTCGGGGAACATTGAAAAAACACGTGTGGAACCCTTACCCCCCCCCAACCCGAAATTCGGGTCTTCGGGATGGGTTGGGGTGGTCTGGTAGGTAGTCAATAGTGCTCATGTAGGAGATGTCGACATCGTGAAAGGCTTGACCGCCGCCCGCCCGCTCTCGGGCGCCCCGTGCGTGCCCCGCGGGCGGAGCGGCGCCGCCGCGTCCCGAGCGAGCGCCGGTTGCGCTCGGCCAGGCACGGCCAACGCCCGCATTGTTCTTGCAATGCTCCTCCTCCTCCTCCTCCTCCTCCTCCTCCTCCTCCTCCTCCTCCTCCTCCTCACCCTCCTCCTCCTCACCCTCCTCCTCCTCCTCACCCTCCTCCTCCTCCTCCTCCTCCTCCTCCTCCTCCTCCTGAACGACGCCCGCGCCGCGAGAGCTCAGCCGTGCTGCGGCGCGCCGAGAGGGCGCAGCGCATAGGCCCCGACGGAGCTGCGTTTGAAGCACGCCAGAACGACGCATGCATTCTACTTGGCCTGCGCTCGACACGCACCAGCGCCATGCCAGGGGCGCGCCTCAGCTGCGCCTGGACTACGCATGAGCCACGCCAGAACTACATTTCAAGCACGCCTGAATCACAACTGATCAACACCTGCATTACATCCAGACTACACTGGATCTCCACATGAACTGCACTGGGCAACGCTGGAACTACACTCGCACAACACTGGAACTGCACGCGAACTATATTTTAACTGGACTTGAACCATACTTGAACTAAAGGGCTACGCCAGAATCGCACTTGAACTAGACCTGAGCTGCCCCTGAAACACATTTGAAATACACTCGAACTACACCTCAGCGGCACTTGGACCGCACTTGAGCTACACCTGAACTGCACTTGAGCTGCAATAGCTACGCCTGAACCAAGATTGAGCTACACTTGAACTACACTTTAACCACACTTGAACTACACGTGAACAGCATTAGAAGTGGGCTACACTCGAACCAGTTTTGAGCAACACTTGAACTGCCAGAACTGCATTTGAAACACGCCTGAACTACACCTGAACTGCAGTTGAACCATATTTGAACTACAATTCAGCTGCACGTGAGCTAGCTCGAACTACATGTGACCTCCATTCCATTTACACTTGATCTGCCAAGATTACACCAAAACCACACATGAGTTACACCTGAACTACACTTGGACCGCATTTGAGCATCACGTCAATCACACTTGAACTACAAGTAGCCCGTACCTGCACTACACGGGCAGCACATTATTTGACTTTTGAAGTCATTTGAGCCACTTCTGAATCGCAGTCGGATTTCACATGAACGGCACTTGAACTTACCTTGAGCTACACTTGCACGACATTTGAACTACACTTGAACTACAAGGACTACACCTGAGCCGCACTCGCACTATAACTGAACTACGTCCGGATCACTTTTGAACTACACTTGGACTACATTTGAACCACATTGCAACTGCACGTGAACTACACAGGAACTACACATGAACTGCAAAGACTACACCTGTTTCCGATTTGAACTACACTTGAATTTCGCTCGACCCACCATTGAATGTCACTTGGCTGCGCTTGAACTGCATTACTGCATTACACATGAGATCACTAGAATTACAATGACTGCACCGGAGCAACACTCGCAACACACCCGAACTACACTTGATCCGCACCTGGACCACATTTGAACTACATCAGAAACATGTGGACCACAGTTGAAGTACACTTGGACTACCAGGACTACACCCAAACCGAATGTTAACCACACCCGAACTACACTTGAATCACACTTGGAATACATACGAGTTTCATTTGACTCACATTTGAACCACATTGAAATCCCAAATGGGGCCACACTTGAAATACACGGATCACGCCTGCACCACGCTTGAACTACACCTGGATTTCACCCGAACCAAACTTGATTTACATCTGGAATACACACTAACTGCATTTGAACCACACTTGCACCAGGCTTGACATATGCCTGTCTTGCAAGGGATACACCCGTACAACACTTGCGCTACACCTGACCTTCATTTGAAAAGCATTTGTACTACACTTGAACCACACTTGAACTACACTCGGACAACATTTGGACTACGCTTGAACTAGACTTGAGCTACACGGGCTACCCTCAACCACACTTGAACCACACCTGAACTGCATTTGATCTAGACTACACTTTGAGTGCACGCGGGCTGCACTTGAACTACACGTGGGTAGCACCTGAACTGCAATTCCCGCGCCTGAGACACACTTGAATTACATGTGAATCACACAGGAACCACACATGAACAACACCTGAGCCACACCCGAACTACACTTGAACCACACTTGAACCACACTTGAACCATATTGAGGCACACTTGAACTACAAGGACTACGCCTGTTCCACGCTTGAGTTACACAGCTACACCTTATCCGCACTGCGGTGCACTTGAACTACACTTGAACTGCATTCGAATTACACTTAAACTAATCTTAAACTACAATGACGACGCACCAACCACGCTTGAAACACGCCCAAATTACACTCGAACCACACTTAAGCTACACTTGAAACGCGCGTGGACTACACCTGAACTGCATTTTAAGCTTACTTGTATTACACTTGAACTACGGGCGCTACCCTCCACCACGTTTGAATTACGCTTGGATTACATGTGATCCCTCTGGAGCATCCTTTGGACTACCCTTGAACAAGCACTTGATTTATACTTGAACAAGGATTGAATAATAGTTGAATTGCAAGGATTTCACCTGATACACACTTGAACTACGTTTGGGCCTCATCTGGAACTCACCCGCACTAAACTTAAATCACACTTCGACTACGGTCGAACTGCACTGGAATTACACTTGAACTACAAGGGCTACTCGTGAACAACATTTGAACCACGCCTGGGCTGCAGTTGAACCGCACTTGCGCACGCGAGCGGGCGACGTTTGAGCGCGCGAGCCAAAGTCCAGGATTACGCCAGACCGTCCCGTGCTGCGAGTGCGCTCTCCGCACGCGGCACTGCGGTGTCTCGTGCATCGCGCGCGCGAGGTTGCGGCGCTTCCTGCGCCGCCATGACGCGCAGGGCCAAGTGCTTCGCTATCACCCGCATTAGCGGCTAAGCGGGTAAAGCAACGCGGAAACAATGCGCACCCGAAGGTCCGAGTCCATAGCAAGCTCACGCGCGCGATGTTTGTCATTATTTCGGGATTCGCGCGCTCGTTTTTCAAGCCGCCCCGCAGAGTGCCCTGCATTTTCTGCAGAGCCAGCCATCGCGCGCGCCAACGCCCCACGGACACTGCGCGCAATGTTCCAGTTGCGGGTGCGACCAGAGATGGCAAGCGTCTGATCGCATATATCACCCGTGTTGTCAGTTGCTTGTGCCATGTAGGGCAGCGGCGACCGCGACCGTTGGAGACAACCGCAGCGTTGTGCAACGTGGAAGGACCACCCCATACTATACGAACATCGGGTGTGTGGTTGATGACGCACCCTGTTGTATGGGGGCGTGTTGTACAACCATATGGCTTGCTAGCTGAAGCGCCGCACATATGTGCTTGCCCAGCTTACACAAAGTAGCTTGCACTACCTTTCTTGCACCACATGGCGCACACCGCATACGTTAATTACACCAAACAGCTGGCGCCACAAAGTTGACACCACATAGCTTGCACCACGCACTTTGCATCACGTAGCTTGAATCACTTAGCTTACACAATACAGCTTAAACAGCCACTGTGAAACAACTTTCCTGCTTAGGGTCCACGCTGGCCAACATGTTTCCCGATGTATCACATCATCCTCGTCATCATCATCATGTTCCTTCTCCTCGCGGGAACTGGTGGCCGTGAAATGTCACAGCGGGTCGCAATGAGGTTGCGCGCGACATTCAGACGGTTCCAGATTTTCATTTGAGCGGAATAAGACGGGGGAGGAAGAGGGAAGGAGGGGAGAAGGGGAGGAGGCAAGGGGATGGAGGAACGGAGGAGGGGGGGAGGAGGAACAGGAGGGAGCTCCACAGGAGGGAGCTCCACTGGAGGCTCCAGTGGCAGGGGTTGCATGGCGGCGCCGCACCCATTTCGGTACATCCCTCACGAGGATCGTGGTCCCGTAGGGAGCTCCACGGCACACCGGAGGAGGAGGAGGAGGAGGAGGAGGAGGAGGAGGAGGAGGAGGAGGAGGAGGAGGGAGGAGGAAGAGGAGGAGGGAGGAAAGGAATCAAAACTGTGCATTGAGTCATCGCAGGGTTGAGAGCACTTGATTTGATTGGCTCGCATCTGGAGACTCTCGCGGCCAAGAGCCATAAGTTCTCCTCCAGGTGCGACCTGCTCAACGGTCCGCTGTTCAACTTTTCGTTCTCTCAGGACATGTGCGGAGTTGAGTTCAACGGCCAGGGATGCAGCTCAAATGAAGAGTTGGGACAGATTCTGGAGCCTGTGGAGGAGGGCGACAGCGTCGGTGTGATGAAGACCATCCCGTACGTGCCGTACGCGCTAATTTGGATGATTCGCGGGCTTTCGCCGCGCTTTTCCCCGTACTGTTTGTCAGATACAGCGGCGTCGGAATCACTGATTTTGGAATGAGCCTGACTAGAATACCTTCTCGTCTGGATCAAATCGCCGATTGGGAGTACAAGCAAGATGAGGAAACACATGAAGGGAGGGCACATTGGTAAATATCCCAAGGATGTAAATTGTCATGTTATATTGTTTACGCCCTGCGATCTCCTTTGCAAAGCAATTCTGCGCAACGTAATGCGATGCATTGCAAAGCGATGCAAATCTATACACTGCAGCGCAAGTCATTCCACAAACCACCGTGTCAATATGCACCTTGCCTGCCATGCAATGCAAACGCATGTCAAACAACCCAGCGTAGTACTTTCCCCAAACAGTGTTTGCACTTAGGGATTCTCACTTGGCTTAACCATCTAGGGGTGAATGGCGGCTTTTGCGGGCGGTGCCGCCCGTCGCCGCCGTCGCCGTCGCCGTCGCCGTCGCCGTCGCCGCCGCTCGGGGCGAATGGCGGCTTTTGCGGGCGGTGCCGCCCTTCGCCGCTGTCGCCGCCGCCGCCGTCGCCGCCGCGCGGGGCGAGTGGCGGTTTTTGCAGGTGGTGCCGCTCGTCGCCGCCGTCGCCGTCGCATAGATGCTACCCCCCATGATTTCCCCCCCTTTCGTATTGCAATGTGCGTATGATTCTGCCCCACTCGTCCATCCTAAATATGAATCCGTACCCTCCCGGCCCAACTGGTATCGACCCCCCCCGTCACCTTCTGCAAACATACTATGCGCGCGCACTCGACATCATGTTCCCGGAAGCCTCTCCGGGAACATGATTTCCGGTTTCCGAGGACGCCCAAGAGGCCCTCAAGACAGTCTCAGCGAGGCCCAAGAGGGCCCGAGATGGCTTGAAGATGGCCGAAGAGGGCCTTCAAGAGGCAAAAATCTGTCCATTTCCGTTGTAAACGTACATTTTAGGCATACTCTCTGGCTTCGTCTTCACAGTGCCCCAGACGCCCCCGCGGAGCCCCAAGACAGCCCAAGAGAGACCCAAGAGGGCCCCAGACGGCCCAAAAGGGTCGGCCTGTGGGGCTCACGGAACCCCCCGAGACGGCCCAAGAGGCCCCGAAGCCCCCAAGACGGCCCAGGGAGACCCAAGAGGGCCTCGTTCGAAATCATGTTCCCGGAAGCCTCTCTGGGAACACGATTTCCGTGTTCCCAGGACGCCCCTCAGCGAGGCCCAAGAGGGCCCGAGATGGCTTGAAGATGGCCGAAGAGGGCCCCGAGAGGGCCTTCAAGAGGCAGTTATCTGCCCGTCTCCTCAGTAAAACTTGCATTTTCGGCATACTCCCTTGCTTCGCCTTCGCAGTGCCCCAGACGCCCCGAGGAGCCCCAACACAGCCCAAGAGAGACCCAAGAGGGCCCAAGACGGCCAAAAAGGGTCGTCCTGTGGGGCTCACGGGACCCCCCAAGACGGCCCAAGAGGCCCCGAAGCCGGCCCAGGAGGCCCCCAAGACGGCCTCAGGGAGGCCCAAGAGGGCTTCGCTCGAAATCATGTTTCCGGAAGCAGCTCTGGGAACATGATTTCCGGGTTCCCAGGACGCCCAAAGACAGCCCCCAGAGTCCCCGAACACGCCGAAGTTAGCTTCAGAACGGCCGACGACGCCGCCAAAACGCCCCAAGAGCGCCTCCAGAGGCCCCTCTAAAGGGCCCCAGAAGCCGAAAATCGTAATTTGTCCCATACTTTTTGAAGCATTCTTGCGCTCTCCCATGTTCCGCCTCCCCGCGGTCCCGGACCTCGTCAGAGGCCCTTCAGATCGCTCCAAGACGGCCGAAGAGGCTCCCAAGAAAGCCCAGAGACGGCCCACGAGGCTCTCCAGATAAGTCAAGAGGGCCTCGAGAGCGCCCCAAGAGAGCCCCAAGAACGACCCAAGATGGCCCGAAGGTCTCCAGCCTGAGAGGCTCCTAGGACGCCCCCGGAGGCGATCAAGAGGCTTCCAAGAAGCCCCGTGAGGCTCCCAAAAGGCCGCCCGGAAGCCCCAATCGACCCCCAAGGGGCCCCCAGGGAAGCCCCCTGCGGGCCCCCAAGACACTTCGGTAAATTGTATTTTCCAGACAGCTTTCCGGGAACATGATTCCTTGGGCTTCCGCCCACTGCCCCAACCATGCTTCCAATAGGCTTGCCCACAAGGCCAAAAGGCGCCAATCGGTAAGCCCCCAGAGGCCCCCCTCTTAGAGAGCCGAACAAATCATGCTCCCGGAAAGCTACCTGGGAACATGATTCTCTATCTCGGAGTAGGCCCGGGGGGTGGGGGCGGGCCGCTGCTTGTTCCCCCCATCGGTGCCCACTGGGGTTGCGGGGGGGGGTCCAGAGCTCTCGAGGCGGCCCGAGCCCGCCCCGAAGCAGGCCAGGACAGGCTAAGGGGGTCCCGAGAGGGCCCAAGATGGTCCCACGAGGCCCCGAAGACGCCCAAGATGCCCTCAAGACAGCCGACCAGGACTCCAACACGTTCCAGGACGGACTCAAGAGGCTCCCCAAGAGGGCCCTGGAAGGCAAGATTCACTCGTTTTCCGAGTGTTTTGGATTTGGGCGTTCTCGCTTTTCCTGTTTTGCAGCGCTCTCACGGCCTCGGAGGCCCTTCAGATCGCTCCAAGAAGGCCCACGAGGCCCCCACGAGGCCCCGACGAACCCCCAAGACGGCCCAGGATGCCCCCCCAGACAACCCAAGTGTGCCCCAAGAGCGCGCCAAGAGAAGGCCCAGGGGGGTCCCGAGGCGGCCCTGGCCCGCCCCGAAGCAGGCCACGACATGCTAATGGAGGTCCCGAGAGGGCCCTAGACGGTCCCAAGAGGCCCCGAAGACGCCCAAGTTGTCTTCAATTCGGCCGACGAGGACTCCAACACGCTCCAGGACGGACTCAAGGGGCTCCCCAAGAGGACTCTGGTAGGCAAGATTCACTAGTTGTCCGACGGTTTTTGAAGGATTGAGGCGTTTTCGCTTTCCCCGCTTCCCAGCGCTCCCTCACGGCCTCGCTCGGAGGCCCTTCAGATCGCTCCAGGATGGGCCACGAGGCCCGGAAGAGGGCCCCAAGACGGCCCAGGAGGCTCCCCAGACAACCCAGCTGTGCCCCAAGAGCTCCCCAAGAGAGGACCCAGAGGGGGACCGCCAACCGATATTTCGTGGTCTGGCCCTGGAGGCCGCCTGTAGGCCCCCAGAGGCCACCCATATGCTCCCACGAAGCCCCGTGAGGCGCCCAAGAGGCCCCCAGGAAGCCCCAAGAGACCCCCAAGGGGCTTCCAGGGAACGCCCAAGAGGCCCCCCAACACACACCAAGAAATCATGTCCCCAGAAAACCTTCCGGGGACATGGTTCATCATGGGTCATGGGCCCCAGAGTTCCCAGAGGCCCCCAAGGGGCCCCCAGGAAACGCCCAAGAGACCCCCCAACACACCCCAACAAACCATGTCCCCAGAAAGCCTTCCGGGGACGTGGTTCATCATGGGCCCGTGAGTCTCTGGAGGCTTCGAAGTACCATCATGCTACAGGAGAGCTGTCTGGGAAGTTGATTGGGAACATGACTGATCGCCTTCTCGCGGCCCTCCGCAGATCGTTTCGCACAAAGTTGCCCCAAGTGCCCTCTTGAACCGACGACGACGACATGACGAAGACGACGACGACGACGACGCTGACGACGACGGCGACGACGACGGCGCGCCCCAATAATTAGGCGACGACGACATTACGACGACGACGACGACGACGACGGCACGCCCCAACAGGCTCCCCAAGACGCCCCCAAACCCATGATCCCAGAAGGCCTTCTGGGAACCCGATTCATACGGCCTCCGCCCCCTTTCACAACCATTTTCCTCGAAGGCCTTTCGGAATGCAGATTGGCATGCGTGGACTGTGGTCCACTACTTCAGTGGAGCAGTGAACCCATCAAGGCCTGGGGCCTGCTAGAACCTGAGCGCGCGCGAAGCGCGCGCGATGGTTCTAGTATGTATGTATGTGTGTATATATAGATATGTGTGTGTACGTGCGTGCGCGTGTGTGCGCCAAATGCTATTCTGAAAGACCAGTACCACATGTGTCTACTACCATGTGCGGACGACATCGCACCAGGTAGCAGACGTTGTCTGGCATGAGGGATGCCCGACGTACCCACCAGATAATAACAAAAAATGAGGATTGATGCGGAAGTGCGCGAAGTTCGTCGACGATCTGGAGGGCTTCAAAGTACGATGGGTCTCCGCTGACCCGCCAGGATGTCACGTGAACTCCAATAGTTCTGTAAGGAATATCGTAGTAAAGGTTCATTATATGATGCTCTCTTTGAAGTCCGATTGAAATCTTCAGGAACCTAGAGCCCAAATGTGTTCATTGGTACCCCACGGGCTGGATACCTTCAAAGGTTCCTGATCATTTTCTTAGGACGACCTTGGCAGTCCTCACGGGGACGCCGGGATGCCTAAGGGAATAAGTCATTTGGGGGCCCCAGAGGCCCATCGTGGGAACAACGAGGAGGAAAGGGAGAGGATGGGAAACTTGTGCCCTAGAGACGATATCGATATAGTCTCGCCCGAGGGCGGTCGAATCTATGTTAATTCGGATGTGCGTTCTGTGTATGAAAAGTGTCATCATCTATATGTCGGGCCTTGATTTTCCTAGACAAACACATGCGCAGTTCTGCCTGAAGCATTGGTACGGTGCGGCTCTGTGCGTGTCTTATATATGATACCGCGTTAAACCATTTCCGCCGTTCAGCCCGATCCACTTCCCGCCAGCTCTCTGGGCGCAAGTGTTTTTCTTCGATCGTTCGCTCTCCCAACTACAGTCGGGGCCCTGAAGAAGGAACCCTTTTCGTTGGGGAGGGGCTCCGTGTTCCTTAGTTGTTTCGCAGCTTGCCCTGGATTGTCCTTAAGTTTTCGATACGAAATCGAAGTTCAACTTATGGAAAATAGGAGCCTCGTTCCTTATTTAGGGTTCCTTAGGTCAACGCCCCGACTGTACCTTCTCCCCCTTCTGGGGATGGTCTTACCCCTCTCCCCCGTATGCCCTGCCCTGCAAGGCCTCCAGAGGGGGCCTTTGGTAGGCACGGTTGTGTGGCAGGTCTCGAATAAGGTAGGGTTCGGCCCAAGGGGCGTGGTTCAAGATATTGAGGTGGCCCAAGGAACGTGGTTCAAGGTGTTTTGCGGTGGTTTAAGGAATGCCCCTGCCCCAAGAGCAGTGGTGTAAGAAATTGTCGTCCCGAAATCTCAACCAACAATGTAACGTTGATTGTTCGAATTGGCAAAGGATCTCGCGGATGCCTCTCGAGTGTAGCTTGAGGGCCTCTTGGAGCCCAGGGAGAGGCACTCCAGGCTCTTGAGCGCCCCGGTGCCCACCGTGCCCCAGTGCTTGCTGCACTCCACCGCGGCCGTGGCTTCTCCCGGCATCTCCTGCCTGCTCCCGCCCAGTGGTGGACGTCTTTCACAATATACACGTACACAACAGAAAAGGAACTATACGAGCATTCTTCGGGTGATAAAGGAGGTTCGGGGAAACAAAAAAACGTCTCACCCAATCGATCTCGCTATCGATCTTACAATCGATCTTGCGATCGATCTCACTATCGATCCTATTCGATCGATTTCACGATCGATCTCAATCGATATGATTCGATCGATCGACGTCAGTAACTCTCTACCTATCCCTTTCCACCATCCCTCCCACTATCCATCTCACTATTGATCTCACGATCGGTCTCACTACCGGTCTCATTATCGATATCACTACGGGTCTCACTACCGATATCATTATCGATCTCAATATCGACGTCATTATCGATGCAACGATCGATCTCACCATCGATATCAACATCGATTCCATGATCGATCTCACTATTGACCTCACTATCGACCCCACTGTCGGTCTCATCATCGGTCTCACGATCGATCTCACTGCGGGACGCCGACGAAACACCGACGGGGCACCGGCGGGACGCCCGCGGGACACCCTTGGCCACCGCCAGACAACCCAGGGGGACTGTCTTTTGGCCCAGCGGCGCCTTCGCCAGAGAGGGGTTCTCTCTTCTCGCCGCCCGCCCCCGCCACGCAGCCTCGCCTCGCCCGCACGACGCGAGCACGAAACCGACACCGAGTTCCTGGTGGGGGGCTCTCCGCTTCACCGCGATCTCGGCCCCTCACTTCCGATCGCCATAGGTCCAGAATCTGACCCCGAGTGCGCTTGCGGAGGAGATGGCGCCCGGGCCGACAACCACGGGATTCCCCAACGGGCGGTCCATCCGGAAGCCACAGGATTCCCAGGCAACGGGATCGCAGGATGGTTTTTCCGCGCTGCTGATTCGTTGCCGCACTCGTATGCAGTATGAAATATCCGAGTGTTGTTTTCTGTTTTGGCACATTGGCGTTGATCAAGATGATTCCGCTCCGTTCTCTTACACCCGTCCTCCTCACCACCACTATCCCGCCCATAGGGGTCAGCGGATCTTCAAGCTCGTCTGGATACCTGGTTATTACATAGATCGAATCGCTCGGTTGGCGGCTGGCAGCGGCCCCCCACCGGATGGGAGGGTTGATAATGATGGTGGTGATGATGGTGATGAGTAGGAAGAGGCGGAGGAGGAGGAGGAGGAGGAGTAGGAGGAAGACCAGTTTCAGTCAAACGCTCGCCCGTGCCAGGGGTATCGCGCAATTTGGGCCCGACTTGTGTTCCGTGGTTGCCCACCTCGGTGCCACCCAGGCTGGCGATGTGCTGGGGATGCCTGGGATTGAGGGCGCCTTACGCCTTGGAGTGGCTGGGTGGCGGTGCCACCACGGGGCCCATCCGCTTCCCCGCGCCGTCTCTAGGGGGCCACATGCGAGCCCTACCCCTGCCCCCCACGATTTCTGAGGGGGAGGGTGGGGTTCACTTCGCTCGGGAGCTCACGAGCGAAGTGAACCCCACCCCTCTCCTTCCCGGCATATGTGAAACAGCTTCGCTACCAACGAGGCCTCAGCGCCTTCTTATGGTGGGGCGGTAATGACATCGGAAATGCCTCGCACGCCAAGCACATGGATCTGCGCCCGCACCGGGCTCGTACCGCGCTGTCTAGCCAGTGCCATGAACAGGGGCTTCCCTAGGCGGCATTCCCGAAGTCCGACCTTCAATGTCAAGGTCGACGTCGCAGGGTACATGCACGTCATGAATGAGTCATGAACTACTACCGCAATCCCACCACCATGGGACCTGGCCTCGCCGAACAGTGGGGCCCGGGCGAGTTCAACAACATGACGGCTACAATCTTGAGAGTGTTCACCTGCCACGGGGTCGCTGTTCCCCCCGCGCACGAGTGGATCGACGCGCGCGCCAACTCTTGGCACGCAACGCAAAACACCCACAACTCTGTGCAGCGAACGGCTAACGCATGCTAGCGCTGCAGTTTATTCATGGGGCTACTCCTCGCAACATGAGCGCCGGCCCCATGTCGCTGGCCAGTCAACCCTGCCCATTCCGCACACATCTGATCAAGGCCGTGTCGGGCGAGCAGGGTTGCATGCAAGCCGCTGAACTGCAGGCTGCGTTTCGCGTGCGTCTGGAGCAGCCCGCGCAATATCAACGCTTCAGGCAGCTGACAGGACTTCGGCAACAAGCCCGTGGCGATGGAAGAATGGTAGCGTGGATGATCCAGACTACGCGCGCCATGCTCCCGCAGCATGGCGCCCCTTCAGTCTCATTGCCGGCTTGGTCGCCTCACAGCAGCCTCTGCTGCTCCCGCCGCCACCGCCTACGCAGCCACCGCCGCCGGCGGCCACGCCTGCGAGCGCTGATCCTCCAGCTGCGCCCGCAGAGCCTGCCTCCAGGCCTCCATTGCAGCCCTGCCCGCCGCCTGCACAGGGCGTTCCCATGGCGCCGCCAGCAGCGCCCGTTACGCCGGTGGCAACACCTGGTGATGTTGCTTCCTCGGCGGCGTCAGCCCACGACTGCTGCGATCGCTCGCAGTGCGAATCCCGGGCGACCCAGATGGGGGAGTGGTCTGACTGTTGCACACCGCGCAAATACTGCATCCGCCGCAAGACGCCCGACCCATATCCATGGGCCCCTCGGGACTACGTGGGCCTCGCGGCTATGACGTGTGCAACGCGGACCCTGACTATGCCGAGCGCCTGCAGCACGACGAATATACGCGACCGCACATGCCCCCGACCTGCACAAGAGCGGTTGTGTCCCCGACTGCAAGTCGGTCACGCTGTGCCATTGTGACCCACGAAAGTGGGGGCCTCCGCTCTTGCGGGGCTGGAAGCACGGCAGTATGCGTTTGGGCCCAACGCAATAATTCCGCAAAGACATCTCCACCGCCCTTCGCCATGATCGCAGCATTCGCCGCGGGCTCGACCTGTTCTTGGGCCGCCGCGTGAACACATGGCGGAGGCTGGACATTGTCGGGCCGCGGGCAGCCCGCAACATCGCCACTTCCGTCGGCGAAACCACGACGAACATCTTTAATAACGGAAGTTGCCACCGCCCACGTGAACCAGATGCAGGAGTTTGACCAGCATTGAGACTCGGTTGACGATTACTACTCCGTTGCCGTGGTGCGTATCCTCCAGCTTCAGCAAAGCACGTTTTGAGATCTTCGTGAAAATTGACGGTGGCAACACCTTCGGCCCCGATTTCCCTTGGCACACAGCCCTGGCGATCAGAATTGTGGGAGGTCACAGCTTCGTTCGCGTCAGCATTGCGCCTTGGGACATGACCATTGACATGCGCGTCGCCTCACAGGCTGGTTGCGAGTTCTGGCTCGGCGAACAGGGTGCCATCATGCACCCGCAGATTGCAGCGCGGGGAGCTATCCTCGCCGTGCGCACGGTTGCCGGCCAGGTACTCTGGCCGCCAAAGTCCGACCGCTGGGGTTACCCACCACACTGGCAGTTGCCAGAACCACGCAGTCAGCATGAGGTCTGCGACTCGGTGCAGGCGGCGACGCCTGCGGCGAAGCGCACGCCCAAAGCCCCGCCTCGCCGCCCGCGGCACCGTCCGCCAGCGCGCCGCCGACACCGCATGCTGCACCAGCAGCGACCCCAACGCCGACGCCTGCCAAGGCGCCATTCCGCGCGGAGGTGCTGACCCCCACGGCTCCGCCACCACATGTGCGTGAGCGCGAGCCAGCCAACGCCAAACGGCCGCCCCCGCCGCGATCGGCGCCGACCCGCGCGGCACCTCCCGAGCCGGCGGCCATGCCCGCTGACGCCATTCCTACGGCGGCGCCCGCAGTCCCCTCGGTGCGAGGCGCGACCTCCAAGGCCCCCCCACCGGGTCAGCCCACGCCTTGCGCGAATCTCAGCGCCCACGCAGCATCTAACGAGACGCCTGGCCCCATGCCGGCGGCCCCACCTGCTTCCCCGCCGGCGGCGCCGCCCTCCCCCCCCCCAGGAGCCAGATGTTGAGACGGCCGCCCCTGCGACGCCAGCACTCCATGACGCAGCCGCGAAACTCGCACAGGCCAACTCCTGGTGAAACAACGTCCTTCCGTATAAGTAGCGGCATCGGCCAGCGGCGCGGGCGATGCGGGGCAGCCGCTGGAATCGTGGACCGCGATGCAATGACGTCGAGGAGGGCGAATTCAGATATGCAAAGACGTGGGGGAGGCTCTATTTGCCGACGCTATGACGCCCCATGCCCGCCCGAAATCGGCTGTTAAAATAGCCAAAGGCATGCTGTATGGCCCCAATCATCGACTGGGGGCGCTTCCAGGACTACGTCGCCGTGCAGATGCCCATCAGGGCGCACGGCTTACGCTGGGTCCATATATGATAGGATGATACGAAAATCCACAGCAGGGCCTGAAGTTCGCGCGCCCGCTCCGTATACAAGTCCCCAAGGATCTCTTCGATTCGATTTTGGATGACGAGCTTGGGGGTGGGCGGCGAGCTGCCAGTTCTCGCCAAACCGGCTTCGGAGCAGCCGGTGGAAGCGCCCACGTAGGACGACCCAGAGCCGATTGTGGAACAGCCAGTGACACTACCCGCGCAGCAGGAAGACGATGACGCTCAGGCCACCAGAGCGGATGAGAACACGATTACCAAGCTGGACATCATTGGCCCGCCCTGGAACGTGCTGAGCCGCCCTGATGCTGGCGATGTCGCGCGTGTGGCCGAAGCAACAGGCTCCGCCGCATGGACCCCCCAGCCACTGTTCGCAGCGGGATTGCGAGGTCTACCAGCACATTGAGATCACAACGGCCGCCAATGCTGCGATGATCCTCCGCTCCCAGATCGAGTTCAAGTTCCGCTTCAGCATGTGCACACCATGCCACTCCATGAGGTGCGAGAAGAGCTCGCAGTGGGCAGTTAACTTGAAGGAGATCTGCAGCGCCGATAGCTTTACGCAGTTGCTCTTGACCCGCATGAACTACGGTAGCTACCACCGCAGCGCGACCGGCATCCTCCAGTGGATCAGCGACATCAACAGCATTCTGATGACCACCGCGTAGCGCCAGCTCGGTGACGCGGACGCGGTGGACATCCGCTGTCACCATCCCAGCCTCATTGCGCTACGTGAGCTGTGGGCATCGCCCGTTGATGCCGACCCGTCGTTCCAGGGATACCTTGATTCAACGCTTCCGCTTTGGGCGGATCGGCCGGGCGCAAGTCCCACAAGGGTCACGCGATATAAGGGCGCATCCTATTTTACGGTTCACGCCAATAACCCCGCCAAGTGGCATAGCCAAGTCCGATGCATTCGGAAAATCATCGCATCCTGGGCCCAGGCCTTCTCCCGGCAGCGTTGCTTCTGCTGCTGCCCCCAATGAGGGCAGCTCGTGGAAGCACTCCGCGCAGGACAGGCTGACCCCCCGGACAACAGCGAGACGGAGGCCGCCCTCATCGAGAAGGCCAAGCGTCTCTTGGCCGAGCATCAGGGCACGGCCTTCGCCGTTCGCACGAGGATGATCCGATCTGTGACCGAAAAAAGTCGGGCATCTCTTTCCGCGCGTCTCGCGACCGACAGCGCCCATGCGATTCCTGGTCAGGCCCACGGTGGCCCTGCTCGCGTTCTCGCGCGAGCCGGTGGCGACACCCGCGAGCATATCGACTCTCGCTCAGGGCGTGGCCGAGGCCGGCGTGGGCGAGGTTGATTATATTATGAATTCAGCGCGTAGATCCGCGAGAACCCGAGCGAGACCGCAGCGCAGCAGTTCCTGCGCCCCGACCTTCGGGTCTGATTCGAGGGGGCCAGATCCGACTGGACCAAAGAAAGGGACATTCTCGGGCGCTTCGCGCATCGGGCGGCAAGGGGACATGCAAAGTGGATCGAAGCTGGAAAGCCTCCTGCGGCGCAGCGTCGTTGTGTTGGCGGCCCAGGCGACGAAGCCATTGCGCTGTGCTTTCCCTACCGCAGCGTCGTCGAGCGATGCGAAGAGTGTCCAGTCTTCCGTGGACAGGTCACTGACGACCGCGCCAATCGCGGCGAGCGCTCGTTCTCTCTCTCGAAGACATGCACCGCGCGCTGCATGTGTTCATCCACAGCGTGGCGTCTGGGCTCGCTGGGCGTCGGGCTCCGCGCCCCCGAGCCACGCCTCGCCCTCAGCGCGCGGCGCTCGGTCGCGCGGCCCCGCCCCCCCGTGGCAGCCAGGCAGGCGCGCCCCACGACTCGCAGAGCCACCATTCGCCGAGGGCCCTGGATCCGCCGCGGCGGCCCGACGAGCAATTGCCGCGAGGCGGGCGCGTGTTTTTTTTCTCTCGGACGTCTGCGGGCGGGGCGCAGCAGCTGAAAGCGAAGCAGCCAGGGGCGAGCGACCAGACGAAGGGGAAGAAAAGGGGGTGGAGCCACGGGCAAGGGGATGGATCCCGACGCTCGCCCCCGCCCCGCTTCCCCACCCGCGCCTCCGCCACCGCGCCGCAACGAGCCCGCCATGGGTGCCGCCGCCTCCTCGGTCGCTGCCTGATCTGGCGGGGGCGCCGCTGCCGGCGGCGATTGAAGCGACGGGCGAGCGGCGGCCGCAACGCCTACTGGAACGGCAGGCTCCAGGGCGCCAGCGACGCCCCTGCGCCAGCCGAAAGGCTCGCCACAGCGACCCGCGAAACGCTCCAGGAGCGGCACTCGCATGGGGACCCCCGCAGCGCGGTGGCGCCACAACCTCGAGCAGCACAGATGGCAGCCACAGGTACTGGTCGTACTCCATTAGCAAGTGGATCTACGTTGACGGGTACGTCTGGGACCAGAACTATACGGCCACGCGGACGATCGGTGAGTACGACCGCCAGGGCAATCGCTAGTGGGATCGTGACTTTTACGATCCACGGGTAGTCGGGCAATATATGCCTTGGCGGTCGGGCGCAAGCCCTGCGACTCACAGGTTAATTGTGCGTTGTGTTCGTCTACGTGGTGCTGAGAGTCGCTTTGCATTCTTTATTTCCATCAACTGGACAACGCATGTTTTGGCAGCTGGCAGGACTCGGGTCTCCGCAGATTTCTGAACGCGAGGACCCACGAAATGCAAACGTGCATTCCTCCGGTCGTCAGTAGGATATTCAGACAATGGTTGGTGCATGATCTGTTGACGTGCTGCCCATGCAACTTGTAAAATACGCATATCAGTATAGTGGTCAACGCCTTGCAGTTACAATTGCAACCTTGCCGTACCTAACGCTTACAAAGATTGTATCGTACCTTGCAAACTTTGGGACGGTTTACACCCGCATATTACATCAAACGTTGTTGATATTGAATATGCGCTAGTGGCGCATACTTGCATGCACGGTTTACTATGCGCAGTTGGCGCAGTCATGTTATGCAGCCGGTGGTAACAGTTGCGTCACTGTCGCCGCGTCGGCGCCCATGGCGCCAGGTTGTTGTCCTTCTTCCATCCATTTGCTCCGCTCAACCTTGCAGCCCGCGGGGGCGGGGCGTCTTCCAGGCGTGCCGAAGCGGTTGTGTAGTGCGCACCTTCGGCCCGCTAAAGGCGGGCAGACTTTCCAAATTACCCCGCGCTGCGCGGTTGGTCCTCTCGTGCTTTCCCTTGCCGAGCGAAGCCCCGTTTGGGGGCTGCAAGGGGTGGAAGGCATTGCGCAGTGGTCTTCGCACTTCTGTTCCCGAGCCCCACCTTCGTACCCCGTCGGCCTCTGGCCGACGCGGAACGGGCGGGATTCGGGACGGGGCGTGTGCGTGTGCGTGTGCGAAGACTGCTTACGTCCTCCTTCTACCCATCCATCCTGCAATCCTCTCGGTTCAGGCATTGGACAGCGAGCCCGAGCACGATCGGGCTGCGAGAGGTCAAAGGGCACTTGTACTTTCTCGCTTCATCCTCGACCGACGAATACGGCGGTAGGTTCGACCCTTCGGTTCGCAACTTCCGTTCACACGGTGGGGAGCTTTGACATCGAGCGTCGGTCGCAGATTTGTGCATGAAGCCTTCACGGTTCGTTGGGCGAGCTTTCGGTTCGCCCTGCAGCTGCCACACGGTTGACTCGAGCGGGGATCGGCGCCTTCCGTCCTCCTCCTCCACCAAGAACTTTTAAACAAAGGCAGTTGCGCGCGGCTCTGAGGCAAGAGCCACGCCTTGAAAAGACTTCACCTTCCACCTTATCATGCTTAGAATGTTTGGATACCCATGTGCCCTGCGTTGGAGCGGGAGCCACCTTATCAAAACGATGCGTGTAATCCACATTTCTGCTTGCGGTAAAGATTAAGACAAGCGCGCGGCACTATGGCGAGAGCCGCATTTTGAAATCGCCCCCCCCCACACACACACACACGTCTTCACTGTTGGGAACTTTGAATGCAAGTGCGCGGCGCTCGGGGCACGAGGCTTTGAACACGACTCGCCGCCCACCTGTTGAACATGAGCGCGCGCGGCGCTGGGGCGAGACTCACAGTTTGAAAAACGGCCCGCCTTCCATCCGTGCAGCTGACGGGAAATGTAGGTTCCACGAAATAAGTACCAGACGGCACGACCAGCCCGCCTCGCCAGCACGCGTAGTATTGAGATGCCGATCGAACGAGACGGAGTTAATCGTCAGGGCAAAGGGTGGAGGAGTGAAACAAGGAAACAAGCAGAAAAGGGGAAGGGGAAAGACGAGGAGGAGAGAGGGGAGAGAAGAGGGAAGAGGGAGGGAGAGGAAACGTGGGGAGGAGGCGGGAGAGAGAGAGGGGCAAAATAATGGTTAACGGGAAGGAGGCGGAAGAGGAGGAGGAGGAGGAGGCGAAGAAGAATAACGGAGGATGCGGACACGCAGCGGGAGGAGGAGGAGGAGGAGGACAAGGAAATGTAGGGGGCAGAGGGAGGAGGAGAAGGAGGGAGAGCAGGATCAAAGAGGAGAAGCAAGGACGAATAGTGTGGATGAGCGGGGGGAGGAGTACGGAGGAGGACGACGATGAGAGTAAGGATACGGAGGATGCGGACGACGACGGCGATGATAATGATCATGGTGATTCGGAGAAAGAGAAGAGATGGGGAGGAGTACAGACGGGAGGCGAAGGGAGGTAACGGTAGGGATGATGAGGAGCTTAGCGGTGAAGGGGAAGGGGAGGAGCCGATGTTGAAGCTCATCTCCGAGCCCACCTGTGACAAGACAGGGAACGGCGTTTGTCGTGTGGCCTCTGACGACGCTCTTCCGTCTCCTCTTCCTTATCGTCGTCGTCATCATCAACATGACCATCATCCAGTTCGTAGTCACTGTTTCCGCAAGACCATCCGATGTCGATGGCGTGCTGACGGGGCGGAGCGCTGGCTGGAGGAGGAGGAGGAGGAGGAGGAGGAGGACGAGGAGGAGGAAGGGTAGAGAGAGGAGGAGGAGGAGGAGGAGGAGGAGGAGGAGGAGGGGAGGAGAGGAGGAGGAGGAGGAGGAGAAGGAGGAGGAGGAGGAGGAGGAGAGGAGAGGAGGAGGAGGAGGAGGAGGAGGAGGAGGGAGGGACACAGGGGGGGGGAGCGGGCGAGATGGAAAAGGAGAGATGAGGAGGAAAGGAAGGAGGAGGAGGAGGAGGAGGAGGAGAGGAGAGAGGAGGAGAGGGAGACAGGAGAGGAGGAGGAGGAGGAGTAGGAGGAGGAGGAGGAGGGGGAAGGGAGAGGGGAGGAGGGGGGGGGGGGGAGAGGAGTAGGGAGAGGGGAGGAGGAGGAGAGGAGGAGAGGCGAGGAGGAGGGAGAGGAGGAAGAGGAGGAGGAGAGGAGAAAAGGAGAGAGGAAGGAGGAGGCGGAGGAGGAGAGGAGGAGGAAGGGAGAGGAAGGAGGAGGATGATGATGAGGAAGGAAGAGGTATGATGAGGAAGAAAAGGAGGGAGGAGGAGGAGGAGAGGAGGAGAGGAGGATGAGGAGGAGGAGAGGAGAGGGCGGAAGAGAATGAGGAGGAAGAGGAAGAGAGGAGAGGAGGAGGAGAGGGACGGAGAGGAGGAGAGATGAGGAGGCGGAGGAGGAGAGAGGAGGAAGGAGGAGGAGAGGAGGGGGAGAAGGGAGAGGAGGAGGAGATGAGGAGGAGGAGGAGGAGAGGAGAGAGGAGGCGGAGGAGGAGGAGGAGGAGGAGGGAGGAGGGAGAGGAGGGCGGAGGAGGAGGAGGGATGAGGAAAGGAGGAGGATGGAGGAGAAGGAGCGGGGGAGAGGGGGGGGAGTCAGGGGGGAAGAGAAGAAAAGAGGATGAGGAGGGATGAGGAGGAGGAGGGAGGAGGAGGAGGAAGGAGGAGGAGAGGAGGAGGAGGAGGAGGAGGAGGAGGAGGGAAGGAGGCGATGGAGGAAAGAGGAGGGGGAGAGGAGGGGAGCAGGGGGAGAAGGAGAAGGGAGGAGGATGAGTAAGGGAGGAGGAGGAGGAGGAGCAGGAAGGAAGAGGAGGTGGAGGAGGAGGAGGAATAGCAGGGAGGAGGAGGAGGAGGTCTGCGGCGAAAGCGCAGAGCGCACGGCGCAGCGCGCAGCCCGCAGCGCAGCGCGTGCCCCGCGTGAAGCGCGTGCCCCGCGTGAGGCGAGCGGCGCAACGGCAGGCGCTCGCTCCGCGAGGCGCGGGGCGAGCGCCCGTCGGGCGCGCTGCGGCTCCTCCGCCTGCTGCCGCCAGCTGCGGAGACTCCGCTGCCGCCCTCGGGCGCTTCACGGTCGGGAAGTTTTGGCCTAGCGTGGCCTCCTCCTCCCCCCTTCCCTTGCTGCGTGCTGTGTCTTGTCAGCGTATCACCGGCCTGCCACACGGCAGGGCACGTACATCTATGCATCTGTGAGCGCATGTTGTGCCCGAGTGCCGTGCCAAAGGCTGGCGCACGGCTGTTGACTTGACTTGATTTGGCGCTCCGCCAGTGGGGTGGCCGCAGCTCATCCCCCTCCCCGTCCTCCTCGTCCTCGGGTCGAGGAGGGATGTGGGGGGGGGGCGTTTGCGGCACGCCTGCAAGGCCGTGGAGGCCCTCCCGGCTCGGTTGTCCAGCGGAGGCTTCTGCGCGAGAGGCCGGGGGGGGGGCTCCTGGCGAAGGGCGGAGTAGCTCGAGGACAGGCCGCGAGGCCTGCCGCGGACGTGGAGCTCAGCAAGCTCGAGGTCAGGGCCAGACCTAAACGCTGTTTTTGCTGGACTTCGGCTGCGTTTTGTTTTTCGTTTAGGCAGGGAGGCACAGGAAGACAGGTGGAGCAAGACGAAGAACAAGACGAGAGGAAAACGAAAAACAACGTTTGGGTCCAGCCCTGCTCGAGGTGTTGATCCTCAGCTGCCCTACCATCGAGGCCCAGGTTTCCCTGGGGCTCTCTGGCAGGGCGGCGCGAGGCGCAGGCCCACGGGGCGTTCTCCCCTGCCCGACAAGCCCGGGAGCTCCCAGGACCCGTAAAATCACAGGGCGGATGGGCCGCTCGCAGCCCGCGCGAGCGCGAGCCGCGCGCGCGAGAGGAGGCGACCGTGGCGGAGAGGGTGGGGAAAGCGAGCAGCGCCGATGACCAGAGGAGTGCGCCGCGCGGACACTGGACAACCCCTGTCGGCTCCGCAGCCGCGGCGAGCGCGGCGCGGGCGGCGGCTGGCGGACCGGTCACCTGGTGCCGTGCCCCCGCTGCTCCTTTGGGCCAGCGGCGCCTCTCTCCGACCTCGCCAGCGGGCCGGCGGCCGCCTCTGGGCTGCGCCGCTGGCGGCCTCGCCAGCTCCGCCCGGCCGCGCGGGCCCGCCGACCCCGCCGCCGGGCCGCCCGGCTGGCCGCGGCTCGCCGCCGGAGGGCTCAGGCGGGCGCTGCGCGGCCTCGTGGGGCGTGCCAGCGCCAGCCTCCGCGCGGGGGCGCCAGGAGGCCGAGGAGGGAGGCGGCACGCGCTGCGCGCTCTTCGGGGTCCGCCGCGCGCGGCGGCGCAGCCTCTGCCGCGGGGCCCCGCAGCGCCCGAGGAGGGGGAGGTCACGTGTCCTGTGCAGCGGCGGCTTCGACGGGGCGCCCGCCTGCCCTGACTCCTGGCGCTGGTCGCCCGCTGCCTCGTCGCAGGCGCGGGGCACGCCCACGATCGCGGAGGGCCCCGCACCCAGAGATCCGACGTCGTGATTTTTTCAATGCGGGGTCCCCAGAAGTCTCGACCCACTCCCCGGGGCCGGTTTCTCATCCCGAGTCGCTTTTTGGCGGTCCTGGGGCCCGGCGAGGGCCCCTCGAGGCCGAGAAATAGGAAACACCCCCGTCTTGTTTTTTCCATGCGCTGGATCTCTGGGCAGAAGGTGGGGGAGCGGGCCAGCAGAACAGAAGGCGGGAGGCTGCGGGCCGAGGCCGAGCAGGGCCGAGCTCTCCCCCCTCGGCGGTGGCGTGGGCGGCGCCAAAAGACGAGGCCACGGGTCGTGCAGGAGGCGGTCCGCGCGAGGCTCGGGGGCCCACCCCGTCGTCCCTTCCCTCCCCGTCGCTCCCCCTTCCCTCGCGCGCCCCTCCCCCATCCGCCCATGCCTTCCCCCTGCTCCGCGTTTGCTGCGCTGCCTCTCTTCTGTGTCGTGCCTGTGTGTGTGTGTGTGTGTGCCCCCCCCGCCCGCCCCCCCCCCCGTCTTTCTGTATCTGTCTCTGTCTCTCTCTCTCTCTCTCGGTCTCCCTCTCTCTCTCACTCTCTCTCTCTCTCTATCGCTTTTTTGTTTTTCTCCCTCTTTCTCTTTCTCTCAGTATATCTATGGTTGCTATCTCCCTCCGTATATATATATATATATATAGCACTCTCGACCCTCTGCTTCCGCAATGAAGGACACACGCTCCACAATGTACGCGTGGCGAAGTGTTGGATGTGCCGTGATTGAAGTACGGACACCTCACGAGAGAAGCGAATAATTCTGCAGTCCTATTTATCCATCTGACATCACCCTGCATCAAGAGGGCGAGGAGGAGCAAGGAGGAGCAGCAGCAGCACGAGGGAGGAGGAAGGGGGGAACGACGAGGAGGACTGATAAGAAGGGAGAGGGAAATATTGAGTATGAGAAGCAGTAGGAGGATAGGGAAGAGGAGGAGGGTCCTCCGACGAGCGCCCAAGCAAGCCGTCCCCAGCAAATGCGGCGCAATGGGGCCACCTCTGACCATCCTGGGCATAGTGTCCAAGGTGATTCGCTTCTCCCTGCTTCCCAACACGCTCATATTGCCGCTCACGAGCATGCGATTTGTCGAGCAGTGCCGGGAGGGGCACTCAGAAGACCCTGCTCTGGCGATCCGGTGATCGGCCGATCCGTCGACCCGTTGATCGATTGGCCGATGCCTCGATCCGTCGATCCGTCAGTGCTCGATGAGGATGCCGACCTGCCCGATCCAGCAGCCGGTCGGGGGCGGGGGCGCCGATCCAGCGGGTGCCTCGCGCATCGCGACGGGTCTGCTCCGCTGGGCCAGGATCATCAGCTCGGCGTCGCTCGGACGTGTGCATCTTCTCTCGGCGAAGACCGTCGAGGACCACCCTGGACCATCGAGCAACAGAAGCACGCACGGAACCGACAGAACGCCCGGGAAGTGGGCGTCCGAGCGACGGCACGTCGGGCTCGGGCTCGGGCCACGGATCAGCCCTGGGTCGGGAGTGGGGTTCCGAGGACAAGTACATCATCTACTCGCAGGCGCGCGGGCCGGCAGCGCTCTCGCCGAGCCTCCGCGCCGCGCTCTTCCACCGCGGCCTCCTCCCTTTCCTCCTCCTCCTCCTCCTCCTCCTCTTCCCCCTCCCCCTCCTCCTCCTCCTCCTCCTCCTCCTCCTCCTCCCCCTCCTCCTCCCCCTCCTCCTCCTCCTCTTCCTCGCCGCACCCCGGCCTTCTCGCCGCGGCCCCCTCGCCCCGTCGTGGCACGCGCTCGGCCTCTGGACTGCACGGTCGCCCCCCGCTCTCCCCCCTTGCGCGGCCCGGACGCCGTCTCGTCTCGTCGGCCGTTCCGGGGGCACGGGCAGAGCGGGGGGCCGGGAGCACGACGTCGAGGAGCATCCTCCTCGACGTCGTGCTGCTGCTCCTGCTCCTCGAGGAGCAGGAGCAGCAGCAGGAACGACGTCCCCGGCCACCACCGTGTCGGTGTGGAGCTGCGTTGTCGATGCCTCGCTCTCTCCTGGGGCTTCGCTGTGTCCCTGCTCGTTAGCACGTGTCGCGTGTACGGGGCTACGCTGTCAATGCCGCGCTTTCCTGTGGCTTTGCTGTATTCCTGCTCGCAACGCACACCGCCAGAAGCGGTGGAGAGCTTGAGAGATCCACCTACCAAAAGTGGGAAACCCAAGACGCCTCACTTCCTGCCAACCCAAGTCAGAGCAGCGCAAAAAAGGACGAGAGGAAACTCGGCCCACGTCACTGACGCTGCAACACGCCCTTCCTCCGAAAGCCCATCCTCCCAGGTGCGCGCGCGACCACCAGTGCCTCACGGGCAAGGACGACGAAGACGGCGACGACGATGGCGACGTCGAAGACGGCGGCAACGACGAAGGCCGCAGGGCGAGCACCAACGGCGAAGACGACCATGCGAAGACGACCGTGCGAAGGCGACGGCTGGCGAGACGACCGCTCGCGAGGCTGGCCGCGCGGAAACGACCGGCCCCCGTGCGGCCCTGATGTGTTGTGGTGTCATCGGCCGCGGGCGGCCTGGACGGATCCCTTGCCACGTCCCTCTCTGATTCAGGCGGGCACGGCAACGGGCCACGGTGTGTCGCAGCTTCGACCGCGCCCCCCTGTTTCTCCCCTTTCTCTGGTCAATTCAAGCCTCGCGCGGCCCGCTTAGCTTCGACCGGAAGGGGTGCGCTCTCGACCCGCGAATCAAAAAAGTGTCGCAGCCTCGGCTGGCCGTAATCAGCCTCCACTGCCGCGTTGCTCTGGTGTCCCGCACATGTCGGTGGCCACAGCACCCGATGTGCCGCATACTCCGCTGGTTGCAGCTGGTCCCCGCTACCTCCATTCGGGGCTGGACAGAGACCCCAACAGTGACACGTCGATTAGTGAATTGTCCGTGCTCGGTTCTCGAGCGGGCGCCGTGGCCGTTATTTTCCGGGCTTGCGCCCGCCAGGTTTGGGCCTCAGGTCGTTTTCACTAAACCACGTTTTACTAAAGGGGGGTCTGCCCATCCCCGATCCATGCTGTGTGTCGCACATTCCACAGGCCGCGGCTGGCCCCGATTGCCCCCTCGATTCTGCGTGTTGCAATGTCCGGTAGCGCCCCTTGCCACGCTGCGTTGGCGATCCCACTGGCCGCGACTGGCCCGGAGTAGCCAGCGGATATCCTAAATTGCCAAGTGAAGGGGGCCATTCGGGACTCAATGTCGCATCTCGCAACGCTATGAGAGATCTCGATGTGGGGTCCACGTGTGAGTTGGAGCCAATGACACCCAAGGTACTGCGTCCACCCCCACCCCACTAAACCCAAAATTTTGCTCCTTCAAAGCTCCTCCGTCATACCACCACAGGCCGTGACTGAAGTGCCCGACGGGAACGTAGTACATTCTTCAAGTTGCTCATCAGGCCGTTCACAAGGCCGTGCAAATGTATAAACGTACACGCGCATGTTGGTAATGGCGCTGATGGGATTGGCGCGCGCGCCTGGTCCGCATTGTGTTCTTCGATGATGCCCGCGTAATCAAGCGCGATAGAGGTGTGGCCCGTTTGGGCTCGACAGCGTGTCCCGCCTTACACTCCACGAGTATCGGAGGTGGACAGACCTCCTACCCTGACACGTCGATTAGCGAATTGGCCGTTTTCGTTTCGCGAGGGTGCGTCGCGGCCGTCATTTTTGCGGGCCCAGGTCCGTCGGTTTCGGCCCCAGGCCGTTTTCACTAGAGGGTGGCTTACGAAAGGGACGTTTGTCCACCGCCGAGAGTATGCTACTCGACAGGGACCGGTACGAGACGCGCTCGTGCGACCAGCGCCGTGCAGTGCGCGCGCGTGGCCATGCACTGCGCCTGCCTCAACACGAACGTGCCCCGTGCAAGCTTTTGAGCTCGAGCTGGCCAGCTTGATCGGGCCGGACGAAAGGGGGGGATTGGGAAAGGAGGGGTACGAAATTTGCTGCATGCAGCTGGTTTCGGCCTCACCGAGGGGCCCATTCCTCGATACATAAGCCGCCTCCGGCGCCGGGAGGCGCCGGGAAAGTCAGCTGCGTGAGCTGATTCTCGAACCCCCCCTTTGGTATCCCCCCCCCTTTCGCCCAACCCGACTTGAGCGAGTCAACGGGCCCCGCCCGTTCCCGGCCACAGCCGGCTTCGGTCGGTTCCCGTCGTCGCGTCGACCGGCGGCGAGGCCCCGTCGCGGGCGTGCCGCGTGGAGCGCCGCCAGGGGGCCCCAGAGTCCATCGGCGTCGCAGGAGCGGGCGCGGCGGCGGCCTCCGGGCGCGCTCCCCGAGCCAAAGGGGCCTTTGCGCGCCGCTGCTCGCCTCTGCGCCGCGGCCGGCATCGCGGGGACAGCCTCCCGGGAGGGGCAGCGGCACTCTCCCCCCCCGAGAAGAAGGGAGACTCGGCGGCGAGCGAGGGGGGGGGGAGTGAGAGGAGAAGGAGGAGGAGGAGGAGGAGGGGGAGGAGGAGGAGGAGAGGAGGAGGAGGGGAGGAGGGGGAGGAGGAGGAGGAGGAGGAGGAGGAGGAGGAGGAGGAGGAGGAGGGCCTTGTAGGAAGGCTCGGAAGTCCCCGGGGCTCCTCAGACGTTGCCTCTGCGCCATCCCCCGAGGGCAGCAGAAGCACAAAAACTCCTCGGGAGGCGCGAGGGCTCCTGGGAGGCCCCGCCGCCTTCTGAGAGGGCCTCCTCCTCCCCGATTCCCCCCCCCCTCGCTCGCCGCCAAGAGACGGAGACGGCCAGCCGCTCGAGCTTGGACGCTCTCCGCGGTGCAGGAGCCGACGCCGAGGCCGGCACAGCGCCAGCCTGCCGCAGTCGCACCGGCGCGCGCCCCTCCTCCGGCGCGGCGCACGGGAGTCGGTCGCGCGCGCGGGGTCCTCGGGAGGGGAGGGGAGGGGGCATATTTTTCTGCCTCCCTCCTCCTCCTCCTCCTCCTCCTCCTCCTCCTCCTCCTCCTCCTCCTCCTCCCCCTCCTCCTTCTCCTTCTCGCCCTTACCAGAAGGGATCCTACGCGCGCATGGGTCCTTTGGTGGAGAAGTCCAGTAAACTGCGAGCGGCCGGGGGCCGCCGCGGGGCTAGTGGGAGGGCTGCCGTGCATGCGCGAGCGGATTCCGCGCGCGGCGACTCCCCAGAAAATATGAGCAAACACGGGTAGTGGGGGGAAGGCAGAAGCCCAGAAAATATAGACGGGAAGCTGTGGGGGATCCGGTCATATTTGTGCCTGCCTCTTCGTGCGTCCCAGGGCCCCTTCGGGTCCCGCGGACCACGATTCAGCCCTTTCGCGCGCCGCCCAGTGTCCGCTGGGACTGCCGCGGGCAAGAGCATGCGCCGCGCCAGGCGGGAGAGCCACGTTCGGACGAAGTCCGCGCGGCGCCCGGGCGAGAGCGGCATTATTTCCCTCCCTTGCGCGCGACCTTGCCGCCGAGAAAATCGGCGAGCGGAAAGTGTGCGCTGCGCGATGTGCGCCGCGGCCCAATCTTGGCACGCATCTGCAACGGCGTCGGCAAACTTGCCATGCGCAAGGAGCACGTCGAGTTTTGTGACACGCGGGATAAGAGGGTCTGGATATATCCCCTTGATCGGCCTCGTGAGTGCCTGTGGGGATCTCTTGGGAGGTCTCTCGTGAGCCTCTTGGAAGCGGTTTCGGGTGTGTCTTGCGGCCTCTAGGGGCCTCTTGCGGCCTGATTTGGGCCTCTCAGGGGCCTCCTGGGGCTTCTGACAGGCCCCTTGGGGGCCTCGCTGGCGGTCTCGGGGGCCATCTTGGGGCGGAGCGCGTTACATGTCAGTTCGAGTTCCCACTCCTGTTATGGGGGCCTCGTGGGCCGTCGGGGGTTGCCTGTGCGTTTGTGGAACGATCTCGGGAGCCTCTTGGGCCGTCTCGGAGCGTCGCAGGCCCGACAAGGCGAGAGCGCTGAGATCCTTCGGAAACCGCAAGACGACCAACACTTGTGACCTCTGGGGGGCGCTCCTGGAGCCCGCCTGGGGCTTCCTGGGGGCCTCTTGGGCCGCCCGGAGGCGGAGGGCATCGCAGGGCTCGTTTCGATTCCTCCGATTCGATTCGATTCGACTTCGATGGATTCCGATTCCGATTCGAGTCGATTTGGGCTTCCGATTTGGATTCCGATTTCTTATTGGAGGCATACTAGCCTGCCGATTTCCGCCGACTCGACGTTTCCCGATTCGGCTGCCGATTTCCGCCGATCCGATTCATGTCGATTGCCGATCCGATGTATCGATTCGATTCTGGGCTCTCCTGGCGTCGAGGGCAGTCGTGGCGGGCTCTATAGGGCCACCTCGGGGCTCACTTTTGGACGCCCTCGGGCGCTTCTCCGGGACCCCCTGGGGCGATGCGGGTCGTGCCCTGCGGGGCCACCGCGCCGAAGGGCCCCCGCGGGCAGGCCGGAAGCGCGGGGAAGGCGAGCAGGAGTGTGCACATGCGGATAAGGATGAGGATTTGGGCATCGCTCGGGCGTGTGCGTTTTTTCTCGGCATGAACCATCGAGGACCATCCTGGACCATCGAGCAAAACAAACAGGCACGAGACCGACAAATGCACGGGAAATGGACGTCCGAGCGACGGCAGGGGATACGAATTGTGCAGAAGCAGGAGCAGAACGAGGAGGGGTGAGGGCGTCTGCTCGAGGTAATTGCTTGTTGGAGCCTTCGTCGGGCCCCAGTACTCCCTCGTTGGGGCACTGGGGGTGACCACTGCGAAGACGACCCAAGGCATATCCTCTGCGTCCTCCTCCTGCCCCATCCACGTTGACCTCATCCTCCCCCCTCCCCCTCCTCATCATTTCCCTCCTCCTCCTCCTCCTCCTCCTCCTCCTCCTACTCCCTTCCCCTCCTCCCTCCTTCCTCCTCCTGTCCTCCTCCCTATTCCTCCTCCTCTCTCTCCCTGCTCCTCCCTCCTTCCCCTCCTCCCCTCATCTTTCTCCACCCTGTCTCCTCCTCCCCTTCTTCCTCCCTTCTCCTCCTTTCCCTCATCTTCCTCTTCTCCTTTCCCTCTTCCTCCTTCTCCTATTCTCTCCTTCCTCTTCCCGTCCTCCTCCCTCCTACTCCCTCCTCTCTCCTCCCTCCTCCTCCCTCCGACTCCCTCCTTCCTCATCCCGCCCTCCTCCCCCCTCCTGGCTCTTCTCCTCCCCCTGCCGACGACGACGACGGCGACGACGACGACAACGTGGGCCGTCGGTGGGGCACCGCAGCGTGGGCCACTGGCGGGGCGTGCCGCGGGAGCCGGGCCGGCGGCCGCGGTATGCAGGGTGGGCGGGCGGGGAGGCCTGTTCTCAGAATCTTAGGGGCCCCGACCTGTCGGGCGGGAAGCAGGTCTGGTGCGTCTTGTCGCGTTATGATCTGGCATGCTCCGTGCTGTTGTGTGTCATGCTCTGCGCTGTCGTGCCATGTTCCGTCGTGCTCTCTGTCTCTTCTGTGTCCGTCATGCTCGGTTCCGTTCAGTTCTGTCATGTTCGTCGAAGGCGCGGGGGGCGGGATTCTCAGGGATTCTCGGGCGACCTGGGGATCTGGCGGCCGCGGTATGCAGGGTGGGCGGATAGGGAGGTCTGTTCGTAAAACCCAATGACCCCAACCTGTCAGGCGGGGGACAGAATCAATGACATTGAAACTCAGGGGGGCCCTCTTGGAGCAGTATTGGGCCATCGTGGGGCTATCTTGAGGCCTCGTGTGATTGTCTTCGCAAGGGCTCCCAACTTCGCGCTTCGCGCTGCGCGAAGCGCGAAGCGCGAATAACTTCGCGCTCTCGCGCCGCCCCCCCAAAGGGAGAAAAGGAGGACGAGGAGGAGGGGGAGAAGGAACGAGGACCGCGAAGCGCGAAGCGCGAATAACTTCGCGCCCTCGAGGGAGCCCTTGCTTCGGGCCGCTGTGCGGCTGGCCACCCATTGGTCCTCGTGTTCGGGCCTCTCGGAGCTCCCCCGGGGCCCGGCGAGGGCGCTCCGGAAGCGCTCTCGGGGGTCCTTTTGAAGACCACGTCCGGGAGTCCCCGCATCCGTGACCTCCCCACTTTGCCGGGACCCTGCCGGGAGTTCCCCCCTCCTCCTCCTCCTCCTCCTCCTCCTCCTCCTCCTCCTCCTCCACAATTGCTCAATAGGAATAGTATTCTCCGCCTGGGGACCCGCAGGGGCCAGCGCAAGCGCGCGAACCGGCACTGTGCTGAATCTCTTGCTGCAGACTTTTAGCACGTCTCTGGCCCTCCAGGTCGGCGAAGTCACCATCATCGCAGCTTGGCTTAGCTTCTGCTTGGGATGCGTCCCGAAACATGGCCGCCCTGTCATCTCACCATAGACCGTGGAAGTTGAATGCACATTCGCAGGCATCGATGATGTTTTAGCCACAGGAACTAAATTTCGATTGGGCTCGCGTGCGTCTAGTTGCTTATGCTTTCAATCTAAAGAAGCAGAGCGCTGTCTCTCCATAGTTGGGACCCGGCCACTCCTGCTCAATGCAGATGAACACCACGCGTCGAGTTAGGTCCTAATAGCTGCGCGCAGATCATGCGATCGTAGCGCCGGTTACCTGGCAAAGTGTATTCACCAAGCATGCCTGGATTACGTGCGGCGTGCTTGTAATGCAACAGATGTGTGCAAGGTCGAGCTCCTTGCTATTACCTCGACCTGGCTAGGCGCGCGAAGTCGTTTTGGTTGGGTGGCAATATTTTGTTGTCGGGTCAACTCGTTGGAGCCGTGCGATATTTCGAGCCAGTTGTGATTTGGCATGGCTTAACCAATCAAGCGTACCGCAGCAGCCTACGATGATGTGCATCGCAGCTCGGCAGGCGAAGCGCCGACCCCCAAGTTCCAAGAGAACGCTTGGTACTGTGTTCCGTCCACCCGACGCCTGGCTCAACTCTGAAAGAGGCGCGATCGCGTCCTCGAGCGCGCATTCACCCATCAACATAGCCGCCCATCCACCCCGCCCGTCCCCAATCAAGTACACAGCGCCCTCTCGTGATCGCATCCTCTCAATTACTGGCTCGTTGCCAAACTCTTGTAGGAACGCACGGGCTGGTTTATCCATCGGCACGCCCCCCACCCACCCACCACCACCACCACCACCACCACCGCCACCATCCCCATCCCCGCCCCGCAAACGGTTGACAGTGTCATAGGAAAGTCTCGGAATATCCCCTTCGCCCGCCCCCTGGGGGCCTGGGCCCCTCTCACATTACGAGTTACCTGCTTCTGAGAAGGTGAGGGCTCCTGGCCTTGAAAAAGCTTGGGAGTGAGGGGGGAGGAAAGGGGGAGGAGGGAGGAGGGAGGAGGGAGGAGGGAGGAGGGGGGAGGAGGAGGGAGGAGGGAGGAGGGAGGAGGGGGGAGGACCGGGGGGGAAGGGGGCCCGGCGGACCCCTCTGGATGGGAATTTGGGCGGTCTGCGAAGGGGTCCGTCGGCAGCCCAGAAAGGCACCCGCGCCCCTTACGAGCCGATGTCGAACCTGATCGGGCCCACGCCAGAGGCTTCAAACACACTTCAAAAAACCAGTAGCAAAAGTTTAAAACTGGTCTATCCAGCCTTTTTGCGCCTTCCCATCGCGCGCGTGGTCGTGCACAGGCCGCGCTTTGGAAATGGCACGAGGAGGAGGAGGGGAGGAGGAGGAGGCGGAGGAGGAGGAGGAGGGGGAGGAGGGCAAGGAATAGGAGCAAAAGGACTCACCCGTCGCCCCTTCTTTTCCCTCCACTCCTCCAATCGCGTCGTGCCCCGGGCCTCGCCCCCCCTCCCCGCTCCACTCTCTCTGGTCCAGCGCCTGCTTCCCCTCCCCGTCTCTACACCCTGCCCTCCTTCTCGTCCAACGTCCCTCCCGCCGGACAGGATGACAGCATCCGTTTCTGGAAAGTTCCTCCCCGCTGTGTCAGCATCGGCTTCTGGATATACTTCTGGCCGCTTGCTTCCCTCCCCCTTCTCGGCACCTCAACCTCCCTCTCGTCCAAGTTCCCTCCCGCCGGACAGGATGTCAGCATCGGTTTCTGGGTCTATTGTTGGTTGCTAGCGGACCTGGTCACGATGATCATTCTGTACGTTGTCGCTAAGACCGTGCTGGGTGGCCGCGGCTGTGGGGTACGGGGGCAGCCCGCTGCACGCTGCACGACGACGACGACGACGAGGACGACGACGAGGACGACGACGAGGACGACGACGGTGGCAGCAAGGGCCACGGCGACCGCGCCCACGATGGCAGCGTCGACGTGACGTCGACGGCCAAGACGTCGAAGCCAGTCCGGCGGATCGGCGAGTGCCTGCGGGACGAGAGGGGGCTCGGTGGAGGCGAAGAGGAAAAGGGGCGGAAAAGGAGGAGGAGGAGGAGGAGGAAGAGGGAAGGAGGAGGAGGAGGAGGACTTGGAGGAGGAGGAGGAGGAGGAGGAGGAGGAGGAGGAGGAGGAAGAGGGAAGCCGAAGAAGTCGAGGGCGCCGGGGGGCGGGGGGGAGCGGGGCGGCGGCGAGGGGCCAGAAGGAGGTGGGCGTCGGACGCTCCGCGCTCGAAGCGGCGCGCTCCGCGGGCCTCTTGCGCCGCCTGTGATGCTGGCTGCACCACACTCAGGAGGGGCAAAAACGCACAGGCACAATTCATCGTCGACTCCCAGGAAAATATGAGAAAATAGTGGGAAGTGGGGGGGAAGACGAAAACCCAGAAAATATGTGAGAGTATGGGGAATCCTTTTATTTGTGTGTATGTATTTGTATGTATTTGCGTGTCCCAGGGCCCCTTCGCACACACACACACACACACACACACACACACACACACACACACACACACACACACACACACACACACACACACACGCGCGCGCGCGCGCGCGCGCACAGCCACGTCGAGCCACGGCGGGCACGCCTTGTGGAGCGGGCGCGCGGCACGGCCGTGTCCGCGGGCGCCGAGCCGCCGACAGCTCCTGTGCCAGGTGCTGCAAGGCTGTCGTGCATGACGAGAAGCACCGCCACATATTGCCACAGACACGGTGCCCTGAGTGCTATCTCCCTCTCTCTCGGGGGTGGACAGACCTCCTACCCTGACACGTCGATTAAGGAAGTGGCCGTTTTCGGTTCGCGAGAGGACGTCGCAGCCGTCATTTTTGCGGGTCCAGGTCCGTCGGTTTCGGTCCCAGGCCGTTTTCACTAAAGGGAGGTTTACTAAAGGGAGGCTTGTCCAAAGCCGACTCTCTCTCGTGCAAATCGCTTGCCTGCGTCCTGCTTGACGGTGTGAGCGTGTGAAAGCTCAGAGATTGACCTCAGAACCTCGCGCAGTTCCAGGGACGCCGCTATGGTCCACGTCCCCAGGCGATGCACAGATAGCAATGGAGTTGTCGTCAAAGGAGGACTGCCGGCGCCATCTCACAATGCAGCGGCTCGGCCAGACTGGGCTACCCTGAGGGACGGGAACGGAGCACGAGAAGGAAGCTCTGGACTCGAGGAGCCATCGGCTGGCTAGGCTCAAGAATCAGCGAGCGAAGAACGGTATAAGATAAACTTTTTCGCCGTCGGGGACACCTGCCCCTGGGCGGCTGGAAAGTTTATTTCATACCGTTCTTCGCTCGTTAAAAGAAAGAGAGAGGCGGCACGCAGAAGGCGAGCTCGGCGAGAAGGCGCCCAAGAGATGCCCCCGCCGCTGGCGGCGGGTCGCGGCACAGAGCCAAAAGCCCCCTTCGCTCCGCCTCGGCTCCGTCGCGTGCGGGCACGGCCCGGCTCGCCGTCCAGGGGGCTCGGTCGGCTTCGCGTCCTCGGCATCGCTCGGACGTGTGCATGTTTCCTTCGGCGAGGACCATCGAGGAGCATCCCTGATCACTTGGCGAAAAAAACCACGCACGAAACCGACAAAAAACACAGGGAATGGACGTCCGAGCGATGGCGAGCACTGGGCCCAGTGCCTTCCCACCAGGCGGGCGGAAGCTCGGCAGGAGAGAGCGCGGCCCACAGCCGGCGCCCGGCGCATCCTCCGCATGCTGTGCACCGCGTGCCATGCCCAGGCAGGCTGCGAGGGGCGCTGGGTCGGAGTGACCCTTCGCCGGAGTGACCTCTGGTGCGGGCCCACCGGGGGCCCCCGGTGGCCGAGCGCGATGCGGCAGCCGCGTCTCGCGGGCTCGTGTGTTGGCCCCTCCGTGGCCCCCCCCCCAGAAGCCGCGCACCAACGTTCACTCTTACGGTAGGTCTGCGTCGTGTCGACCAGCGGCGACCCCGCCGCCGGAGTTCAACGTTGAACGCCGACGGCGACCCAGAATCGATCGATGTTCAACGATGTGGCGTTTCGGAAACGGCCGATCGTTCAAGGTTGAACGATTCCCGCGGTGTCAAAAACCAACGCTGGGGTCGGCACGACACGAACCTGCCGTACCCAGGGTCACTCTTGCGTGTGTAAGGGGCCACATGCGAACCCTACCCCTACCCCCCACGATTTCTGAGGGGGAGGGTGGGATTCACTTCGTTCGGGAGGTCACGAGCGAAGTGAGCCCCGCCCTCTCCCTCAGAAATCGTGGGGGGCAAGGGGTAGGGTTCGCACGTGGCCCCCCTGTGTGGCCGACTCGGGGGAGGCGGAGTGGGTCCGCGCCGGACCGATGCACTTTTTTTTTTTAGTCAGCGGCCGCGGGCGAGCGCGCCGGCGGCGAGTCCAGTCAGAAGCGGGCCACGAAAACGATTAAATTAACCTAAACTGGGTAGTCGAAGGCCAGACTGTCAGACTGGATTGGGCCCCAAGGGCCAATCTGGCTTGGCCACATTGGAGGATTTGGGTTATTTGCCAGACTGGATTCGCGTTGGCTCCCTCGCCAGATTGCCCCCGTTTGCCAGACTGGCGCCAGATTGGCTTCGACTACCCAGCTAAAGCAGCGGAGGCCGGGCAGCAAGCGGGGCCGCACGCAGCACCTCCGCGGAGGACCGCGAGCGGAGGGGCAGCCCTGGCCGGTGCACGTGGAGGAGCAGGACCGTAAAGGTCGTGGCTCCGAGTGCCGGGCCCGACTCCCGGGCGAGCGAGGCGCGCCCGGTGGCGGCCGTGGGCCGTCGCGCTCGAGGCCCCTGTTCTTGGCGAGCTCCTCCTCCTCCTCCTCCTCCTCCTCCTCCTCCTCCTTCTCCTCCTCCTTCTCACCCCCCTCCTCCTCCTCCTCCTCCTCCTCACCCTCCTCCTCCTCCTCCTCCTCCACCTCCTCCTCCTCCTCCTCTTCCTCTCCACGGGCGCAGCGGCCGAGGCGGGCCTTCGGTCGGGAACTCCTGGCCAGCGTGTCACTCAGCCAGTGCCTCCTCTTCTCTGCCTCATTCCAGCTTCGCGCGGCCCGCTGAGCTTCGACCGGGAGAGGTGCGCTCTCGACCCGCGACTCAAAAAAGTGTCACTCCGCCGGTTCTGGCCCGCCACGCGGCGGCGCGGCACGCTACCCACGTTCAGGTCCCCAAGCGTCACCGTTCTGCCGCCCCGCGGAGCGAAGCGACACCCTCTCCGCTTGCAAGGCATATCGTGTCGTTGGGGCTGCCGCGGCAACGCGCGGAACAAAAGTTCCCGACCGTAGATCCGCTGCTGTGGCTATCCCGTTCTTTGTCTTCATGGCGGCGATGCGGCGTTCAGGTTTTCGGGTAGCTTGCGGCCGGCCCTGTGTGCCAGAGGCATGGCGGAAGTCCAGGGTTCGCACGATTCACAAGAAGGGCGGCCCGACGGCCTGCGACAACCACAGGCCCATCAGCCTCCTTCCAATGGGTTGCAAAGTGTTCTCTATGATATTGTTGGACAGGTCAAAGGAAGCAGGGGCCGAAGATCGCATTTGGTGCACCCAATTTGGCTTCAGATCTGACGAAGGAGCCGGCGATGCGATATTCGTGGCCAGACGAATCCTCGAGGACGCTTGGGCGACGAAGCAAGGGTCGTCATTGCTACTCGCTATGGGCTGGGCCAAGGCTTCGACTCGGCATCGCCCAGCGCTTTGGCAGCTTCACTGCGGAGGTTCGGGCGTCTAGATTTGTCAACATGGTCGAACCGATGTATCATGATCGGGTTCTCCTCGTTTCAGAATCAAGCATTTTGTCGGGGGAACGGAAGCAGCAGTTTGGGAGATGCCAGGGATGTCCATTATCACCGCGTCTCTTCACAATCGACATGGCGACCTTGCTGACAGACGCTTAACCCATGTCCCGGGTGCGCATGCCGAACGTTGCACAACCGCATGTTGTCAGGGGTCTGGTGTACACGGACGACACTCTCCTTCTCGACGCCAACCCAGGCGCCATCCAAGATCTGATGTCGTGCATTGAGGAATGCGGGCGACATTATGGACTGAACCTGAATTGGCGCAAGATTGAAGTGGTGCGCGCCCGCACTGGAGCCCACCCTATCAATAGCGCAGGTGAGGCGGCGAATGAAAACAACAACCTAATATATCTAGGTGCGTTGTAATCCGCTGATGGCCGGAACGGCGCGGAACGCAACCGTAGACTCGGCGCGGCCAGGCATGATTTCAACGTGCTGAGCCCAATCTTGTCGCATTCGACATTGAGTAGCTGCCAAAAGGTGCGCATGTTTCACGCATGCGCAGTCTCGAAATTGATTTGTGTTACAACATGTCTGAATCAAGCGGAGCGCCGGAGAATAGACGGATTTCTCAAGCCCAGAGTTTGAGGAAGATTTTCTGCGTGCCGCACTCGTATTACAGCAGAATTTCGAATTTCATTGTGTTGAGCATAGCGGAGCAACGGCCTTTGAGCGAACAAATCTGCAAACAGCCGATCCTCTTCATAGGCAAGTTTGCGAGACGCCCCAGCATAGACCCGGTGCGCACGTCTGCGTTTGAACTTGGCAGCATCGACGATCGAGCACCATCAGGTCTCGGAAGGGGAGCCGGCCCCGACAGAATCTGGCAACATGGTGATGAGCAATTGTTTGCGCGTGGGAGGAGGAGGAGGAGGAGGAGGAGGAGGAGGAGGAGGAGGAGGAGGAGGAGGAGGCTGATTATGGCCGGCCCACTGCGCTGGCAAGGCACCCGATATCCTGGGGCGCCACTGTGCGCCAGGGTGGGGGGATAATCAAGTGCAGAATGCCCCGCCCGTGCAACTCAGTGTGGCAGCAGCGTGCGCGCCACCGCTTTTCACACAGTGTGCGGCACTCCTCCCCCTTGTGGGCGTTGATTATTATTACAGACCGTCCTATTACAAACGGCTGCGCTGCAGTGGGGCGACGCTGGTGCCAAACCGAATGCGTCGGTTGGCGGGTCAAGAACAACCACAGGCACGACCCAAGGACGCGAACTCGGGAAGACGGTACAGATCCAGGATAACATTTTAGCATTCTTCCTGGAGTGAGATCTTTCGTGTTCAAAGTTGCGGCGCGGTAGTACTCCTCACGTCCACGGTAGGGCCCGTGCCCTTGTCCTGGCTCGATTGATGGTTCCCCACCACAGTCAGCGTGTGCGCTACATGCCGCGCATGAGTGGCGCCTGGCTCTCTCACGCGCGCGCGTGAAAGGACCATCCGCGCAGACGGAACGCGGGAACACCCGCCTCCTGAACTGCGCAGGCTTGGTTTTTTGCAACCCCCCCGCGGCCCCTCCAGTAGGCCCCGCGGCCCCTCCTTTGCACCCCCCCCGCGGCCCCAGGCTTGGTTTTTTGCTTTCCCCGCCGCCCTGCGGTAGGTTCGCGTCGCGCCGACGCTGCAGCGACCCCGCCGCGGGCGTTACAGGCGGAACGCCGCCCAGTGGCCCAGAATCGGCCCATACGGAACGATCTGGCGAGCGGAAAGCCGCCGATCGCTCAAGGTTGACTGATCCACGCGGTGTCAAGAACCAGCGCTGGGGGCCGTGGCGACGCGGACCCGCCGCAGGCCTCCGCCACAGCCGGCGCGACGGCACGCTGGCCGGGCGAGTCGCGGCCTGGAAGAGGCCGCCTGTCCCTCAGCTCTTGGGTTTTTTTGTAGCAGGCGGTGGCCTTCGACGTGGGGTGGGCGCGCTGGCTCGGAGGAGGCCATTTCTTTATTGGTTGGGGCATGACGGGCGTCATGGCCCCCGCTATCCCCCTCCCCCCCCCCTATGACGCAACGCTCCCCCCCCCCAGTGCGCTCCGGGCACTGCCGCCGTGCGCGTTGGGATCCGCGTAGGTGTCCGCGTAGGAATCCGCATAGGTGTCTGGTCCGCAGGCGTCGTCGTCGTCGTCGTCGTCGTCGTCGTCGTCGTCGTCGTCGTCGTCGTTCGTCGTCGTCGCTCGTGGTTCGTCGCTCGTCGCTCATCGTCGTCGTGCGCGCGGACGCGGCTGGAGCCTGTTTTTCAGTCTGGGCCGATGACGGCAATCATTTGGGGGGGAGGGGTCGATGACGTCACGTTTCGCGCCGGCGGCGTTTGGGAATGGTTAGGTATGACGGAGGACGGGTAGCACGAACATGTAGGTGGCGATATGCACCACAACGCCTGTGTACATCGCAGTGCCCGCGTGCACCACAGCGCCTGTGTGCACCACACCGCCGATGTACACCACAGCAGCCGCGCGCAACACAGCGTCAGTTTGTGCCACCGTGCCTGCGGGCACAGCAGCTCCTGTGTACACCAGAGCGCCTCCGTGCACCACATCAGCCGTGCGCAGCACAGCACCAGTGTACACCACAATGCCTGCGTGCATTGCAGTGCCTGTGTTCGCCACGGCGCCTGTGTGCACCACATCAGCCGTGTGCAACACAGCACCATTGTTGTGTATAGAATTTCAGAAGGAATTTTTGTGACAAAATAGAGCGCGTGTGGATTCCAGAGAAAACAATGGAAAACAAATCCTCATGGACAAAAGAGCGCCGCTGGAATCTACGAGTCCCCCCGAGTCCGCCCGCATCACCCTAAGTCCCATTTGCGTCCAGGAGGCTCCAGCTAAACTGGCCGTCCGAGAACCAAGTGGACCGATTCAATCGACCATTCTGCGGTGCACGCTGAGATGCGCGCGTGCGTTGTAAAGCCAAGCCGCACGACAGGGGGTAAGAAGGAGGAAAAGGAGGAAAAGGAGGAGGAGGAGGAAGTGGAGGAGGAGGGAGGAGGGAAAAACGTCGCATTCGATTATCAGAACTTTCCTGGCGTGGCGTTTAGTTATCCGCATCAGATCCTGACGTACATGCTCCGTCTACCTGTCTTATGCACGCAGGCATTGTGGTGTACACCAGCGCTGCGTTGCACGCGGATGCTGTTGTGTAGACAGGCGCTGTGGCGTGCACAGGCGCTGCGGTGCACGCAAGCACTGTGGTGTACACAGGCGTTGTGTTGCACATGGCTGCTGCGGTGTATGTACACCGGCGCTGTAGTGCTCCCAAATATTGTGGTATACGCGGGCGGTACGTTGCACACGGCTGTTGCGGTGTACGCAGGCGCTGTGGTGCACACGCGCGGTGTGGTGCACGCGAGCGTTGTGGTGCACACAGGCGCAATGGGCAGATCGCCACTTACATGCTGCTCGCGTCGTCGTCGTCGCTCGTCGCTCGTCGCTCGTCGCGTCGTGCGCGCGGGCGCGGCTGTGGTGCCGGAGCCACACGGGGGGGGGGGGGGGCGTCACGTCATACCCCCCCCGCCCTCCCCCCCCCCCCATGACGCCCGTCATCTCCGAACATAAAGAAACGCCTTCGAGGTGTCGCGCTGCCGTAGCGTCGGCGCGGGCTCCGCGGGGTGCCAGAGATGCCCCTCTCTGCGCCTCCGCCCCGCCACGGTCTGCGGCGCGAGCCCCAGGCCAAGGCGTGACCCCGAGGCCTCACTGGCTTGGCGCCGCTCGGACGTGTGCATGTCTCCCTCGGCGAGGACCATCGAGGAGCATCCTTGATCATTTGGCGGAAAAACCACGCACGAAACCGACAAAAAACACAGGGAATGGACGTCCGAGCGATGGCGAGCACTGGGCCCAGTGCCTTCCCACCAGGCGGGCGGAAGCTCGGCAGGAGAGAGCGCGGCCCACAGCCGGCGCCCGGCGCATCCTCCGCATGCTGTGCACCGCGTGCCATGCCCAGGCAGGCTGCGAGGGGCGCTGGGTCGCTGGCAGACTGCCGGGCCTACACACTGTTCATTCCTATGTCTTCGAAAGTTCTCTGATTTTTGAGGGGCCAAGATCTGTTCATCTCTAATTGTTCCATCCTTGGCCTCTTCCTGGCCACCAGGGGGCCAGGAACCACTAGAATCGAGCACACTTAGAAATGAGCACGATTAGAAATGAACGACGTGTATGTTTGCACTCGGGCTCCCAAGACGGGCGGCCCCGGCACCGCAGACCATGTGGCGTGGCACGCAGGTCGCTGGATACCGAAAGCATGCGCGGAGCATTGGAAGTTTCTGCTTGCTTGCGGGGGGGAGCCCATGGCGGCGATGCGACCGGTGGCGGGACGCGCCCGGTAGGAGAGAGGTGAGCAGCAGCAGCAGCAGCATCAGCAGCAGCAGCAGGAGCAGGAAGACGCGAGGGAGAAGGATGAGAAAGTGGCGGCGGTGGGAAGGAGGAGGAGGAGAAGGAGGAGGAGACGAGGAGGAATAGGAGGAAAGAGGAGCAGACGGAGGATGAAGAGGAGGACGAGGAGGATCGCGAGGAGCAGGGAAAGAGGGGAGGAAACGTGGAGATCTCTCCCCCCTCCGCCCCCTCCAGGCGGACAGGCGCTCAGCAAGATGTGGTACCGGTGCTACAAAACGATTTCCATTTTCACGACCTTGATCGCCCTGAATCTCTTTTTCTTCGACCTCATCTGCTGCTTCAAACTGAGGCTCCCGCATCCATGGATCAGGTGGCCAGAGGGCGGACGAGGCGAGTGGAGGATGGGAGAGGAGCGGGGATGGGAGAGAGGGGGGGGAGAAAGGGAAGAGAGGCTGTTGGTGGTGCCAGGGGAGAAGATGCGAGGAGACGAAGGGGGAGGCGAGGGGACGACGATCCTTCTGTTACTCTTCCCTGGGTCCTTCACTGTGTTGCTTCTCCATGTACGTAGGCTCGCCCTGGGGCTGCCTTTTTCAGACCTGGGGAGACTGGATAGGCAAGCTCCACCCCTGGTGCCATCGATCTGCCCTTGCACGACGTCACGGTGTAGATGGTTCGAAGGATTCCCGTGGGTGCTGGAACAGACCCCGATGGGTTTGGAAATGAGGCCCAGGTCGCCAGAGGTGGACGGCGAAACGAAAAAGAGGGGGCGTGCTATCGGATCCCCTGGCCCCCTTCAAGGGGGGCCTGTTTCTGAACACCTTCCCCCCCCCCACCTCTCAAGGGGGGAAGTTCCCCTCCCCTTCCCCCCCCCCCCCCCCAGTACGCTTGCAAGCGGGGGAGGGCACTCGGAAACGGGACCAAGTACAACCCACTTCTACGTATCCCAGTCGACCTTCAGCAATCCCAGCCCATTCTGGTACCAGTCCCAACCAGGGAAATGTCGGGAGATCCGTATGTTTGCCAGCATGAACCCCAAACAGTGAGTTCTTGCGGTGTGGGGATGCAGGCTATGCATAGCAAGTCGTGTGGTGCAAGCCAGGCTGGGCACGCTTTGTGGCGTGAGCCACGTGGTGCAAGCTGTGCCGTGTCAGCTCTCTGATGCGGGCTGCGTTGTACAAGCTGTGCGATATGCCTGACCTAAGAGGTGCTTTTGTGGCGCTGCGCAAGCTGTGCGCCATGAGGCGGAGGAGGAGGAGGAGGAGGAGGAGGAGGGGGAGGAGGGGGGAGGAGGGAGAAGGGAAGAGGAAAAAGCGCGAGCTATGCCATGTGAGCTGCTCGGCGCGCGAGCTGTGCTGTGCAAGGCCCACCAGGCGCCCCACGGGCGCGCACCCGCCGAGGCCGCGGCATGCCCCCCCCCCAGCCGCGGGGCGCCCGCGGGGCGCCCACGGGCGCCCGTCGAGCGGGCACCCGCCGAAGCCCCGGCGTGTCCGTCCGGCTCTTTCCGAAAGCGGCGCGGTGCGAGCTCTGGAGGCGAGAACTGTAACTCCTCCTCCTCCTCCTCCTCCTCCTCCTCCTCCTCCTCCTCCTCCTCCTCCTCCTCCTACCTCCTCCTCCTCCTCCTCCTCCTCCTCCTCCTCCTCCTCCTCCTCCTCCTCCTCCTACCTCCTCCCTCCTCCTCCTACCTCCTACCTCCTCCTCCTCCTCCTCCTACCTCCTCCTCCTCCTCCTCCTACCTCCTCCTCCTCCTCCTGCGGGGTGCGAGGCGTGCACCTGAGCGCACAGCTCACGCTGCAGGCTGTGCGCTGCGGGCTGCGCTGCCGTGCTGGCCGCGCGGCTCGCGGCGCACGGCCTGCACTGCAGGCTGTGCGCTGTGAGCTGCGCGGCTGGCGCTGCGCGGTGAAAACTATGCCGGGCACACTGGTCGGTGCCGACTGGAGCTGAAGGCAACGGGTGCTAACGTATGTGGCGTAGGCCATGTGGTGTGACTTTTGCGGTGGGAGCTCTGGTGTACAAGCTGTGTGGTGTGAGCGAGAGGGGCCGCGGATGTCCATCTCTCTTGCCCCTGGACGGGCCTCTTCTCTTCTCGTCTCGCGTCTTGCCCGCTGTTCACAACACAAAAACAAAAACTATGTGGTGTGAGCCATGCGATGAAGGCTATGCCTCGCCAGCTATGTGCTGTAAGCCACGTGGTGACGGCCACGTCGTGTAAACTCAGAGCCCGGGGCGCCCACGAGGCTGCACGGGCGGCAAAACGCGGCGAACGCCCGACGCTCCCCCCGGGCGCGGGCTGCCCACACGGCGCCCACGAGGCGCCACCCGGCGAGGACGTGGCGAACACCCAACAAACTTCTGAAGCGTGGGGGCGCTCACGAGGCGGCACGCGCCGGCAGCGCGGCGAAAACACCATTTGCCCGTCCAGTTCTTTGCGTAAACCAGTCCTCCCCCTCCTCCGCCTCCTCCTCCTCCTCCTCCGCCTCCGCCTCCTCCTCCTCCTCCGCCTCCGCCTCCTCCTCCGCCGCCTTCTCCTCCTCCTCCTCCTCCTCCTCCTCCTCCTCCTCCTCCTCCGCCTCCTCCCCCTCCTCCCTCGTCCTCCTCCTGCGCAAGAACCCTTTAAAGGGCAAGTGCTGCCTGGGGAACGACACTTTGAGAGGCCTCCACAAGAGATCCTGTGAACGGTCCGCAAGCTGGGCAGCGCCTCTTGACGGAGCACCGGCTCGCACGCTCCGTGGCCCCAGCTGGAGCTCCGCATGCGGCCCCCGCGGCAGGGTCCGCACGGCACCACCGCGCCATCTTGCTGCCCCAAGCGCCATCGCTTTCGTGACGAGCTGCCTGTGAGTCAGCGAGCGAAGAACGGTATAAAATAAACTTTTTCGCCGTCGGGGACACCTGCCCCTGGGCGGCTGGAAAGTTTATACCTAAATGAGGGGGGAGGCCGCGCGTTGCGTCTCTCGCAGCTGCATCGGGTTGTGTCCTTCGCCAGACTGCTTTGTAGTTATCGAGGACGCCTACGGCGATTCACCGCCGCCCCCCCGCCTTTTTGGAAGCGCCTATGTGGCCGCAAGTTGGGCTAGAGCTATCGGACCATGTGTTCCCCCAGCCGTCGTTGAAACCTTTCGGGGGAGACAAGCACGAGGAAAAGACTGAAAAGGGAGGGTGAGGAGGAGGAGGAGGAAGATGATGAGGCGGACAAGAAGAAGGAGGAGGAGGAGGACTCTTGGGGTCTCCTGGGAGCTTCCTGGGAGCTTCCCGGGGGCCACTTGGAGGCCTCTTGGGGGCCTCCTTGGACCTCTTGGGAGCCTTTGGGGGCTTGTTCGGGGCCGCTTTGGCCGACTTAAATCGTTCCTGGCCCGTGAGACGCCGTCGGAAACAATCTTGGATGCCTCTCTGAACCGACTTGGGGCTCTTTGGTGCGCTTCGGGGCTGTCTTGGATGCCATCTTGGGCGTTTTGGAGGCCTCTTGGGCCATCTTGAGGCCGTCTTGGAGGCTTCTTGGGCAGTCATGGGGTCATCTTGGAGGCCTTTGGGGCCATCTTGGGGCGATCTTGGAGGCCTCTTGGGCCGTCCTGGGCCGTCGGAAGGCCGAAAAGAAGCAACTGCCAACATCCTTAGGGAAATCAGCGATTTGGGCATTTTCGGGCCCTCCTGGAGGTTCTCTTGGAGGCCTCTTGGGCCGTCTTGGAGGCCTCCTTGAGGGCCTCTGGTGCCGTCCTGGGCCTTCTTGGAAGGCTTCTTGGGCGAACTTGGAGGCATCTTGGACTCTCTTGGACCGTCTTGGAGGTCATCTTGGACCACATTGGGCGAACTCGCAGGCCAGCTTGGCCGTCTCGGAGGCCATTCCTGGGCCATCTTGCAGTGCCGTTTTTTTTTATACATGCTCCGCGTGCGGATCATGCATTAAAAATGCAGGGATTTAGTATGAAAACCAACGATGAGTTCACGCATGAACTTTCTCATACATAAATCATGTAAACATTTTTTAAACATAAAAAAGCGAAACATCCTATGTATTAAAAGCTGCCCTGTAGAGCCATCTGGAGCAGGAAAAGCCTTGGCGACCACCTCTCGAGCAGCTTTCCGGGTGGCCGATGCGATGGGCCGAAGCCCCAGGGGCGTCCCAAAATGAGCCAGAACTTCGAAGAGAATTAGCACACGAGGCACCCATGTGTTAAATTAACAGGGAGCGGCGGATGACCGAAAGCGCGCGTTGCGCTGCGATCCGTTAGTCGGGAGAATTAACCAGGGGGGGGGAGTACAGGCAGCCCAAGCCCCAGATGGCGAAAAGCGCGCTTGCGTCGCTACCCGTTAACCCGGAGAAAGCAATGGGGGGTGGAGGTAGGCAAAATGGGGCGTGGATGACGGAAAGCGCGCGTTAGCGTGCGGTCCGTTAGTCCGAAGAAATTGGACTTGGGGGAGTTCGAGGGGGTTGGCATCGCGGGCCCCGGATCTAATTGCCCTCCCGCTTCGTTTTTTATCGAGTAGGACGGCTTTCGGGGCTTACAAACAGCGTTTCGCTCGAGACATCATCGGAAAACGCTTCTTGGGTGCTTCTTGGGCCGTCTTAGGGTCTTAAGACAGCCCAAGAAGCGGCCAAGACGGCGCCCAAGACGGCCCAAGACGGCCCAAGAAGCGCCCAAGACGGCCCAGGAGCGCTCCAAGAGAGCCCAAGACCGCCCAAGGCGGCCCCAAGACGTCCCAAGAGGCCTCCACGACGCCCCAGGAGGCGCCCACGAGGCGTCCCAAGAGGGCCCCACGAGGCCAAAATCTTTGATTTTCTGAAGGAAAACGTACATTGTAGCATATACGCCTTTTCGCCTTTCATGGCGTTGAAGACGGTCCAAGAGGCCCCCAAGACCGCCCCAAGACGGCCCAAGATGTTGCCAAGAGGCCCCCAAAATAGCCCAAGAGGGCGCCAAGACGGGCCAAGAGGCGTCCAAGACTGTCCAAGAGGCCCCCAAGAGCGCCCCAAGAAGGCCCAAGAGGCCCCCAAGAAGGCCCCAAAACGGCCCAAGAGGGCGCCAAGACGGCCCAAGAGGCGCCAAGACGGCCCAAGACAGCGCCAGGACGGCCCCAAGAAGGCCCCAACCGCTTCGTTTTTTTATCGAATAGGACGGCCTTCGGGGCTTAAAAACAGCGTTTCGCTCAAGACATCATCGGAGAACGCTTCTTGGGCGCTTCTTGGCCCGTCGTAGGCGCCTAAGACAGCCCAAGAAGCGGCCAAAATGGCGCCCAAGACGGCCCAAGAAGCGCCCAAGACGGCCCAGGAGCGCTCCAAGAGAGCCCAAGACCGCCCAAGGCGGCCCCAAGACGTCCCAAGAGGCCTCCACGACGCCCCAGGAGGCGCCCACGAGGCGTCCCAAGAGGGCCTCAAGAAGCCCAAACCATTGATTTTCTGAAGGAAAACGTACGTTTTTAGCACATACGTTTTTGTCGCCTTTCATGGCGTTGAAGACGGTCCAAGAGGCCCCCAAGACCGCCCCCAGACGGCCCAAGATGTTGCCAAGAGGCCCCCAAAAATAGCCCAAGAGGGCGCCAAGACGGGCCAAGAGGCGTCCAAGACTGTCCAAGAGGCCCCCAAGAGCGCCCCAAGAAGGCCCAAGAGGCCCCCAAGAAGGCCCCAAAACGGCCGAAGAGGGCGCCGAGACGACCTAAGAGGCGCCAAGACGGCCCAAGACGGCGCCAGGACGGCCCCAAAAAGGCACCAAAAGGCCCCCAAAAGAGCCCAAAGACGGCCAAAGGCAGCCTAGTCCCTTCACCCCCGCAGCCCGGAAGCTCCCAGGAGGCCCCAAGAGGCCCCAAGAGCCCCCGAAAAGCCCCCAAAGGTCCCCAAGAGGCACCCAAGAGTCTCCCCAAGAGCCCCCCAAAAGGCCCAACATACTCTCAAAGGCTCTTAGCACCGCGGCTCCCAAGAGCGAGCGGTGACGTAATCGAGCTGATAAGACCAAAGTTCCCAACAGAGAGCTGCGGCGTAATAAGTTCTTGACGCCAGGGCACAGGGACGGGCGGCAACGCGTGGACAACGAGCGGTCCACGCAAGGAAAACGCGGGGTTCTGGAAAGCTAGCAGCCCAAACGCGGAAAACGCAACGCGACCCGACCGCCCCCTCCAAAACAAGAAACGCGCTCAAAGAAAGCTCCGCGACTCTCCGAGGCTGAGATAGGACAAGCGCGAGGGGAAGGGAGTCAATAAGAGGTGTAAGAGCGGACGAGCCAGCGATCTCGTGCGCTCTGAAAGTAAGTGCGCTTTCCGTCCCCGTGCCAAGCAGGTCTAAGGGCTCTTTTACCATTTTCAGACCAAAACAGCCCAAGTTAGCCCCAAGAGCGCCCAAGCTACCTCCAAGATGGCGTCGGAGAGGTCCAAGAGGGCCGAAGACGGCCAATGAGCGCTCAAAGAGGGCCCAACATGGCTTCAAGGCGGCCCAAGAGGCCCCCAAGACGCCGAAGGAGGCCCCCAGCTTAATATGTTGTGTGTCATGTTGCCTGCCCTCGGCCGCCGTGTCTTCCCAAAACCCAGGTGCACCTTTACGCATTTGGCTTTGCGGTTAGCCGCCGGACAACAAGCATCGATCGCCAGATCACTCACATCACGCCACGCATAGCACCACTCTGCGCTGATCCCAACTGCCCGCCATGTTGAGACGCACGTGGAGCCTGCCTCCTTAGAGGCACGACGTTGACGAGTCTTTCGAGCAGTTCGACGAGGAGGAGGCAGAGGACTACGACGCCGTGCTCGAGCCCAGGAGCACCGACAGAGACGGCGGCGGCACTCGAGACAACCTGCCGATCCCCATCTTCGACGGGACTGGCTGGTGGGACTTCTCGAGGCACGTTGAGGCCTGGCAGTTGGCAGCCTCGCTGAAGCGGGAGCGCCGCGGGCCGGCGCTCGACGCCGGGCCGCGGGACGACGCGTGGGCCGCCGTCGAAGACATCAACCTGGAGCGGTTCGCGGAGCTAGGCGGGCTCGAGTTTCTCATGCTCGAGCTCAAGGACCGCTTCGAGGAGCAGGAGATCCTGCGACAGGGCGACGCACTATATGAGTTCTTTGTCCTGCGCACGAGGCGGCAGCAGGAGCAGACGCGGACGTTCATGAGACGGTTTAACGCTCTCGTGCGCAGGCTGGCCAAGTTTGCGGCAACGTTGCCGCCGATTGTGCTCGGATGTTTGTTCTGGAGAAGCTGATGCCCCCAAACGATCGTCGAGCTATGGCGTTGGCCAGCGCGAACAACCATTGCGCCATCAAGTTTTATGGCAGCCGCGACCGACAGGAAGTGCCCGAGCGTCGCTGAGTTTGACAAGTCCGGCGGCGGACAAGATCAGCCGTTCGAGCCGAATCGATTCACTAGGACATGGGCCCCCAAAGGTGGCCAACACCAGACCGCGCGCGCCGAGCTGGGCGAGCAGCCAGACACGATGAGCGAGCACCTCCTCGACCTCGGCGATGATGAGTACCACGCGGTGGAGTCGTTCTTGGCCAACCGGGGGGGGGCCCGACCGACCTCCCAGGGCTGGGCGACGACCAGGGCGACGAGGGCCGACGGTCAGGAGGCGACGATGGCCGCTGTGGCTGAAGCGCACGCGGCTTGGTGCAATGAGAGCCACGAGCGCGCGGTTTCAGCGCCAGGACAAGTTCCGGGCGAAGTTCACCAGGGCGAAGTTCAAGACGAAGGATTTGAAGAACCATTGGGTTAACCCCCCTCCGCCAGCTCCTCACGGAGCTCAGCGAGACCCGAGGCGGCAGAAGGAGATTGACGAGTTGAAGAAGACATCGATATGCAAAGCATGTGACCAGTGCGGACATTGGAAGGGGGCGCTGAGTTCCCCTAGGTCCGAGCCGGACATTCCCCTCGCAGGCCGCCGCCGACGATTCGCGACAGCGCGCGCGCGGAGGCTGAACCGCGCAGAGTTCTCACAGCAACGAATTCGACTAGTTCGATGATGGCCAGGAGCGCGCCCAAACCTGCCGCTCAGAAGAAGGCGAGCACCAACGCGGGCTGCTACTCGTTCCTGGTCCTTCCTTGTCCTGCATTCATCTCCGCGTCTTTCGAGGATATGCGGAAGCGCGTCGGTCTCGCAATCTACGACAGCGGATTCACGAGATGCGTCATCGGCTACAACGTGCCCGAGCTGCGGGCGGCGACGCTGAGACGCTGCGCCCGAGCCTCGAGGCGCCGGCAGGTCGCCGAAAAGGAGCGGTGCAGGTTCGGATTTGCACGTCGCATCGCATTCCGGGCATTTTGCGCCTCAGCACCGCGCCTGGGGACTTGCCGCTGCCCTTTTCGAGGCCAGCGGCGAAGCAGCGCGGCGTCCGCGACGGCCCGAGATCTGGCACCTTCAGTTTTCCAAAGGAGTTGGGCGCGCCGCCAGTGCCGGCCACGGAAGCTGACCCCCAGCACCCGCCGCTCAACCAGCGTCAGTTTCCAGCAGAAGGCTGGCTGTCACCGCCATGAGCAGTCTTAGACGAGACGGCGCCAGAAATGCGCGCCACGTCCAAGGACCTCATCCGTCTCACCATCGGGCTTGCTACTCCGGGGTGCCGGGCCAGGTCCAGGACGAGGGGCAGAAGCGCATCGCCTACGAAAGCGAGCAGAAGCACCGTATTGATTGAGCAGCAATGCGAAGCACTGGAGCCGCAACGGCATCATGACAAAGCTGAGCCACAGCACCAGCGAGCTTATCAAAACTGAGATCGAGCTTATCAAAATTGAGATCGAGCTCATCAGAGCGGAGATCGAGCGCATCAAAACGGAGGCTGAGCATGTCACAACGGAGAGCGAGCAAGCCAGACGAAGCCCCGAAGCTCAGCAACGGCCAAACATGCACGTCGACTCCCGCAGCTGTTGGCTCGAAGCAAGCTAGCTGCGCGAGTTCGACTTCACGTTCCATATCCGCCGCGCCCTCCAGGGCGCTTGCCCGCCCGGAAGAGCGCGATTCAGGAGCAACCAGACCTTCGCCGAGCATGGCGGCGCATCGCTCAACTCATGATGAATGCGGCCTGGGCTCTCCTGACCCCCGCGCGCGGCGCGATGGTGAGCCTGGGGCGCCAGGGGCGCATCATGTCGAGGATGGCCCATGCGCGACCGAAGCGGAAGGGGGTGATTCAGATGACGAAGGCGGAGCTGCGCGAGGGATCGGGGCGGAGACCTCGGGCCACGAGACGCGCGCGGCCCCGCGAGAGAGCCTGCGAGCAGCGCGACCACCCGAGGACAGTAAGCGCAGGAAGGGCGCGCCGCGGTCGGACCTGGCGTCGCGGCTCAGCAAGCTCAGGAAGCACGAGGCCGCCGCTTTCTGCCAGGCTGCAGGCATCGCCATTGAGGGGGCGGTCGACGCGCTGAAGCTCAGGGTCAAGGTTTGGGCCGCCCGGCCGCAGCCGAAGGACCGATGCCAACGAGCGCGGTCCCCGCGAGGTCCTTGCAGGGGTCGGCGCCAGGTTCGGCGAGGCCGCGCAGCGAACCACCACCGAAGGCCGCGCCGAACACGCCGCCCATGCATAGAGAGCTCCAGGCCAAGGTCATGAAGCGAGGTCCCCCGAGCACGTCATCTCATATGAGCCTGGGCGACAGAGACGATCGCTTGGCCGGGGCTCGGGGGACGACGAGTCGGACAGCAGCCGCGACTGCGGCGCCGCCGTCGGAGGCGGACTGGGACCCCGACCTACGGAAGATAAGTGAGGACAGCGAGACCGAGACGGGCGAGGCGAGCCAGCCGACGGCGAGGGAGAGCGACGAGGACAGGGAGCTGATGCACCAACTGAACTTCGGGTTCCAGTTGGTCGGGCAAAGCAGCGCCTGCGCCGCGGGATGAAGGGGCGCGTGCTCAGCGGGCTGCGCGGGGCCTTGGCTTCGTGGGCGCTGCCCGCCACGTGTTTCGCATTGACCATCGGCGAGTCGGCCGGCGTCAACCTCGCGAGTGGCATCTCCAAGGTGGCCGAGTCGGAGTCCGCGCCCAAGGAGATGCGCCGCGTCGTCGAGGAGGACGGCACCGCCAAGATCAATTTCGCGGGGGCCTGGGGCGGCAAGGCCGGCGCATCTCGGGAAGCAGCTCGCCGAGTTTTTCGAGTAGGTCAGCCCTGGGGCATCGAGTGGCCAGCCCTGGGACATCGAGCGCGGCGATGACCTCACGAAGCTAGCCACCAACGAGGAGCTGATCGAGTTCGTCAAGCGCGAGGAGCTGGACCGCGCGGCGCTGGAGCCGCCCTGCAGGACCTGGAGTCCCATGCAGAACCTCGTCTTTATAGGGGACAAGAAGCGCCTGCGGTGGGAGCGGCTCAAGGAGCTGCCGACCTTGAAGCTCGCGGAGGCGATCTTCGCGCTGCAGGACGAGGGCGGCCGCATGGCGGCACTCGGGCACCCTTGGCTAGGACGGTCGTGGGACGAGGGCCGTGGAGGAGGCTCAGGCAGCTTCCGTGCGTAGTCGAGTGCCAGACCGAAGTGCGCGCTCATGGCTCGACGCATCCTCAAACTTGGATGGCCGCCAGGAAGCCCACGAGGTTCTTGGCGACCCACGAGGCCTTCGAGAAGCCCTGCGGCGTGCGGCGTCCAGAGGATCACGAGCACGTGGAGCTGAAGGGCTTTGGCAGCAAGGGGATTTCCTGGTGCCAGGTCTACACCGAGGCCTTCAATGGACGCATCGCTGATGCCTTCGAGGAGGTGCTGAACCAGACGCACCAGGCCATGCCGGCGGACGCAGACGACGACAGCGACGAGGCCCCCGAGGAGGAACCCACGGGAGTCCGTGCGATCACCATCGTGGAAAAGGCTGGAGTGCTACCCTTCGAAGTCCGATCCCAGCTGCGACGCCTGCACCAGAACCTCGGGCACCCATCGAACGACGACCTGGCCGGGAACCTGGGGCTGAAAGGCGCGGACGCGGACGATGCTCTGGCCCGCGGGGCCAAGCACCTACGCTGCGCCACGCGCAATCGGACAGAGCCTGCGTCGGGCTCGCACCGAGTCTCACGCTTGTCGCCAGTCGGCGGCTTCACTGACGAGCTGGGCGTCGATGGCCTCTAACTGCGGAACGCGCATGGGAAGCCCGACCTGTTCCAGTCGATTGCCGAGGCCTCCGCGACGCCCCACGTCGCCCGCCACCTCAAGGATCGGAAGCCAGCTACACCTGCCAAGGTCTTTCGGGAGCTGCGGCCTGCAGGACCGCCGAGCGTGGTGAGGCTCGACCCTGACGGCGCGTTCTACATCGAGTTCCAGGAGGCCAGGGACGTGATGGGCATCCGCGTCAAGGCCGTGGCCGGGCAGTCGCAATTGCAGAGCGGGCGCACAGGGCGACGCGGAGGATGGCTCAAGCCCATGGCCAACCGAGCGGTCGAACACAAGTCGGTCATGGACAGCTGCGATCTGGAGACCGCCGTCTGGGAGACCTGCCAAGCCAAGAACGACGTGCGCAGAGCCTGCGGCTTTTTGCCGTCGCAGTGAGCGCGCGACTGCTCACCTGCGACGTCGGCAGACCTGATCGACAGGCCTGGCCAGATAGCCGAGCACAGCCTGCATCACGTGTCCACCGAGCTCGCCAGGGGGATGGCTATCCGCACCGCTGCGCGGACGGCCTTCGTGGAGCTGCAGAACAGTCAGGCGCTCCGTCGGGCGCTCTTGCGGAAGCCGAGGGTCGCGCGCGTCAGCTGCCAGAGCGGCGGCCCAGCAGTCTATTGGCGGCTGCAGAAGAAGACGAAGCTCCACGAGTGGCGAGGCCCAGCGGTCGTCATCGGCCCAGCGGGCGCCTCGAAATTCTGGCTCTCGCACGGGGCTGAAGCCGTTCGAGTTTCTCGCGAGCAGCTCCGACCCGCTGAGGATGAGAAGATCTGGTGGCCTGGGCGGGGCGATGATCCTAATATCGAGGAGCTGAACGAGCTGATTCGCCAGTAGGAGAAGGAGAATCAGCCCGAGTTCGAGGGCGACCGAGGACATGGCCCGCGTAGAGCATAATAACATGCCCGACCTCTGCAGCGGAGGGAAGGCCATGATCTGGGGGACATGCTCCAGGAGCGAGCTGACGAGCTGGAGGGGGACATGCGCCGCATCGAGGAGAACGATTCCCTCCATCCTCCGGGCGCCCAGGAGCAGCGCCCAGCTGCGGAGGCGGAGCGCCCAGAGGAGCCGCCTCGCAAGCGGCGGGAGGCAGCTGCGCCGTCGGGGCCATCGCCTTCGGCCCAATCGGAACTTCCTACGTTAGCGCCAGCTTCGGGCGCCGCCCAGGCCCCGCTTCCAGAGCAAGGGGCCCCCGACAACCGAGAGGGGCCCCTGGAGCGACGGGCGGCTCTGCAAGCCCGCCAGGGCAAGGTGTTCCGCGGATCCCTTGTCGGACCGCCTCTACATCTCAGGGATCATCCCGAACAGCCAGCGCACTTCGCCAACTTCAGCGTCGGGCTCATTGCGAAGCGGAGCTGGAACACCACGCGGCTGCAACGTCGATCGCTGGAGAAGGAGGCGCCATGGAACCTCCGCTTCTTCCAGGGGGCGGCAGACTTGCAGTGGAAGCAGTGGGGGCTACGACGCCGGCGAATCCTTCTCGATCGAGGAGGACCAGAAGGTGCGCGAGCGGGCCCATCACAGCCGCGCCCTGACGTCAAGGTTCCTCTACCCGAGCAAGAACGCTGGAGTCAAGTGGGCGCCGCCCAAGCCGAAGGCGCGACTGTGCTGCGGTGCCGCGACGACCAGGACCTCACGATGGGCCTTCGGACCGACGCGCCGACAGTGTCAAGACACTCGGTGCTCATCTTCCTGGCGGTGGCGGCGGCGCATAATTTCGACATCGTGGCTGGAGATATCGAGCGCGCTTTCATGCAGGGCGAAGAGCACGAACGTGCGGAGGAGCACTACGTGTCACCGCCCAAGGAGGGCCTCCCTGGCATGGGCCCTCGCTGCCTCCTGAAGGTCAAAGAGGGCATCTTCGGGCTCGCGGATGCGCCGCGGCTGCGGCGGCGGCGTCTACGTCTTGGGCTGGTCGAGGCGGAGCTGAAAGACGGGAGCAGCAACCCCATCGTCGTGATGAAGTCCCGGCTCGACCCGGCCGTGTTCTCCGGCTTCAACGAGGATGGGGGGCTGTGTATCTAGGTCTCTGCGCATGCGGACGACCTCCTCGTGGCCGCGAAGTCTCAGGCCCTATGTCAAGGATTTCGAGGTCTCTTTTACTTCGGCGAGTGGCGGCATGTCCCCGTGACGTTCTGCGGGAAGCCGCTGCAGGCTGACCTGGAGGGAGGCTTCCTGCTCGACCAATCGACCGTCGTCGAGGGTAGGTTCGAGCTGGTCGATATCGAAAAGGATCGGACGCGCCACCCGAGCCTGGAGCGCAACGCCCGCCAGATCGCGGACACTCGGAGTGCAGTCGGGTTTTGGATGGCCAGCGCGAGAGACGAGACCCGACCTTTCATGCACCGTATCAACGGCACAGCGCAAGCACGACGCTCCCTGCGTCCAGGACCTGCTGGATCTCAACAAGGCTACTGCGGCTCTGCAGAGTCGGCTAGCGAGTAGTTCCACATGCCCAAGCTGGGCACGGAGTCTCCGCGGTGCCCAGACATCTACCATGACGCCGCTTGGGGGGCGCGCTCGCCGAGGACGAGGCCTCACAGCGGATCGCTCAGGGGGAGAAGGCCCC